CAGTTTAATATATTTTCAATCGAATTTTCAATGCCTCTCGTTCAGCAAGAACCATCCGATATGGAGTAATAATTATAAGTAAAGTATTCGAAGCTACAAAAATGTAAACCTTATCTTTTTCCAATGGTGGCATAAACAACTTCTCTCAAAATATATTTGAAAATTTTCCTTCTATTGATATCTCCTCAAGAGACACTCCCTCGTTCCATGCAACAATGATACTAACAATATTTCTCTGAAAATCTTTCCTCACCCTGTTTCTAAGTTTGCACTCGCAGAGTTAACACTAGGGATTAAATAAACCATGTTCCCTCAAAACTAAATCGGCATGACTCCTTTTTCAAAACAACCAACTATCGCATATTGTGTGACTAACCAACCCATAATTAATATCACCTCAAAACTCCTAAGGTCTAAAAACTCAATAAACTAGTAAATGTTGTTCTCCAATATAGACCCTACACCTTGGGTACACGATATCTTCTCACTAAAAATCACCCGTAAAAGTTGTCACGATCAAATCAAACTCAAGTGTTTTGGGTTCCACACCCAATCACACTGCTACTCTAAGAGACACAGAAGAATATATAGGCCCTACAATTCCATTAATGTTAATCACATTTCTTACAACACCCTTAGCGTCCATTTTTGCAACTATCTCTTGTTTGTACAAAATACCAAGCAAATTAACTAACCTCAGTCACTATACAAATCATTCTATTAACTATTAACATCATTCTGTATCCCTTAAACTAAAATCGTTTAAAACTTACACAACTATTCAGATTCAACCTAATCCTTTGGTAATTCATAAACCTATGCTCTGATACCACTCTTGTCACACCCCCACCCCGGATCACATAGGGTGAGCAACGGACTGGCCACTAAGGCCTTAACCAACCATCCATGTGCATAATTAATGTAAAATATAGCGGAAGACAAATAATAAAGTGATCCTTTTCACCGACCTAATGAATACCAGAGAAATAAACTAACATCACCGACATTATTACTAAACTCATGTAAAACAATAATTAATCCATAAGATTCGCTACTCTAAGCAAAAACAACATTGTTCTCAAAACAATCGAATATTTGTTTCAAAACTATAAAAAAATATTTATTCCTGAAGACCTACAATAAAATAAATCTTTAATTCTTCTAATCTCTTGTCTATCTAAGGACTTACTCCTCCTTCTGATCCTCACCTGAAAAATGTTAAATATTTGGGTGAGCACAAAGGCCTGTGAGTAGCAACCACCTCTAATGAGGATTAAAAATAAATCTCACATTTTATATACACAAAAATAAACTTTGTTATATACATAAATACAATAAATTGTACCACAATCCCTTTCACATTACCATGTAAACAAAATGATCTCATGATCATAATAACTTTATAAAAGAAAAAACATTTATAACTCAAAATACTCACACACACATTCAGTCTCAAATATATTTGTCAAATCATGTTTGTTACCACTAGTCTGGTAACTGGCCCCATCTCTTTTTATCACTAGCCTGATGACTGACCCCGTCTTTTGTTATCACTAGCCTGATAACTGGCCCCTATGTACACATCTCTATACCGATCACGCCGGTATACAATCTCGTTACCATTTAAACTTGGTAATCCAGTCTCCTTCTCATAAAACATAATTTCAACACACACACTAAAACTGTTGTTTTAATCACATCGCACACAAAATTTCTCTTTCATCACCAAAACCATTTAAGCAATAATATAAAATCATCTCATAAGTTTTGCAAATTCACATGTGTAACAATTCACAAATGCAAAAATATTTAATTGCAACCCCAAATATCAACATATATCATATATATGAAAAATTCACACACACGCACCCACAAGTTTAATATAGAAAATCATCCGAATAGAAGTAATAAACTACTCACCTTGAATTTTAAAATCTAATTCAAAGCACTCTTTTTCAACCTTAATGCAATCACCACCTAATCCAAAATAACATAAAACAATCAATCATTTTTTCTTTACTTCGTCGTTTGGCGATTCTATATTTAATTTTTATACTTCCTATTCATTAATATATATTCAATATATATTTTACATATAAATATCCTTTCTAATATGAGGTAACAACGTATGAAAGTATTCTGGACTGTTTGGAAAAAGTTTCTAAAGTTCTTGAGTCAAATCATAATTTTTAAAACTTTTGGGGTCAAAGTATAATTTCCTTAAAAAACGAATTTTCTGTTTTCGGGCCTGCCATAAATTTTTCAAAATTCTATTCTTGCAACTTACCAAGTAAAAAGGTACTTAAAATTAAGTTAAGAAGAATAAAAGGATCAAAATAAAACTCCTTGAAACTAAAGGGGAGCTTTCTATATTTTTTGGGATTTGGTCTTCTTCTTCCGGCGGCTGAACCTGAACCAGTATACTTCCTTTTCCTTTCACATTAATTGAACTCAATCAATTCCAAACAATTATAAACTTAAAGATCAACCTTATAACTTCAATAATCAATAAGATACCATGAGACCTATATATATATATATATACACCAACATTATAAACCCTACACCCATTAATTGAATAAGAATATAAAACTCATAAAAAAAAAATCATTAATCCATACTTTGGATGGATTCAAGTCCCTTTCTTTCTTTTTCCTCCTCCTTCTCTCTCTCTCTCTTTATATATATATATATATAACTCAGGCTACCTTTCTTTCTTCCTCCTTATTTTTTTTTCTCTTGCCCTATTTTGACTGCCTACATATATACATATAGAAAATAAAAGAAACCCTAAAGAAACCCTACAAGTCTTCAAATTCATTAAATACATTAACATCCCTTTCTAAAAAAATATTACAAATTAACCTAAAAACTAATATTATATATATTTTAAATTTGGGATATTACAAAACACCCGCCCTCCCCTTTTCTGTTTATCTCCCTCTCATACACACACATACACACTCATGGATTATTTGTCAATTTCAAGTAAAGTCGATCATGGGTTGGGCTTGCCGTTGTTGTCCCAATGGCCACCCCAAAAAACCTTAGTAAATAGCCGGCGCGACCCAAAATTTGGCCTGTTGGTCCAACCCCGAGTAGTCATAGCTCGGGTCACAATGCTGAATCCAACCCACGGGCTTGCTTCAACTCCCAGCCTCATGTGCCCGGCCCACGAACTCTGTCCACCAACCAACCCAATTTTCAATTTTCTGGCAAGTTTTAAAGTATTAACTGATAAATTATAAAAGTAATATTTCACTTTCAAGTTATAGATTACAAATTTTAGGTTAAAATTTACAACTATTAGGATATAGTTTCATATATTTTTAATTTTGGAAGTAAGAAAAAAAAAATAATTCGATACCATACTGAAAGTTATTATTTTTTATGATCTAAGTTACATCTGTTTTAAAGTGAAGTTACGCTTGCTTGAGCTCAATCAACGTTGGGAGACTGAAACTTAGTGATCCAATGCACAATATATATATACTAGTTATTCCCCGTGCTTGAAGGCATGAAGTAATAAAAAAAATGGTCAACATATTTGTATTCACACCCAAAATCAAATCACAAACATAGAGGAAAGATAAACAAATTTAATCACCAATTGTAATAGGGGGTGAGCAATGATAGTGATGGTGGGCGATAATGGTGATGACAGGAGACGGTGATGGTTGTGGTGGGTAAGGCGACGACCGCGGTGGTGATAGCAACCGTAGGTGACAATGGTGATGGTGGTGGTGGGGTGGTGGGTATGGTAGGGGGTGGTGATAGTGATGATGGTGAGGGAAAGGGGGAGGGTGGTGGTGGTGGTGGTAGTGGCAGTGGAGGTGGTGGTGGAGCGATGTGGGTGATGGTGGTAGAAAAAGTGGTGGAATGGTTTCAAACACAATTTTTTTAAAAAATATTTATGAGAAATAATTTCTGAAAATATTTTTAAAAAGTTATTTCAAACACACTCTTAATGACCTATTTTTCTTGTTAAATTTTGGGTGTTAATATTAGTCGTAATATTAACTTTAAAATAAAATTTAAAATAATCTCAACCACGAATAACAAAAATCATTTTATTTATCTTTTGAAATTTGAATTGTAAACTATTTTATTATATAGATATATATATCTGAAACTAATATCTACCTAAAAATTTAAGTCTCTAAGTGGTGAGCCCCACTTTTTCTTAAGAGTTATCATTGGTATAAGCACGCTACATCGCATTTTCAAGAGTTTACTTAAGATTATCCGCCATCGGCATAATACCATTTAGGAGACTGAGAATTTAGTGACCAAAGAGCCAATATACATATATGAATTTCATTCATCGGCTTTGATATCATTTGTCAAGCTCATAACTTGTGGACTTAAGCTTTTTTATATGGGTATAAGATCAAGACATGTACATCGGGTCTTAGATCACTTAATTCCTAGTCTCTCAATAATCTATCAAAATAAAATCATCCAAACATAATTTAAGGGTAAAAATTGATAGAAAAATTTAATTAAAAAAAATTTGATAATTGAAAGATTAAATTAAAATAATAAAAAAATTAGATCAAATTAAAATTACCTTAAATTCGCATTCGTAACCAATGGATTGCTTGGTGTTTAGACCCTCTTTTGTTTTCATTGTCAATAATCATGCATATGCATGGCCCACAAGGAGACAGCAAAGGCCTTTCTCACGTTAAGCCACTTAAAACATTATAAAAATAAACAAAGCAAAAGACAGACAACTCGACAACACATTACCGAAACGTCGGCGTATCTCATGACAATCTATGTACCGCAGTTTCCACCGTTTTCACAGGACTTAACTGTCGCGTCGGCACAAAAGAAACCACCGCATATACCACACTCGTATATAGAAACTCGTAACACACCATCCCAATTCACCGCATCCGCCGTTGATCTAACACAAATCCCAAAGTCAAAATCCATCAACGGTCTGTAATCCATACAACAGAGCCCCGAAACACATCTTCCGTAGTTGAAGTTTATTGTGTTTTTTATTAGCCGACCACATTGGATCCAATATCTATTATCCATGTGGGGTTGGTAATTAAAGTTGAATAGTACACACGTAGGATACTCGTCTTGGAACACTCATAAATAGAGCGGACCCGCTAAATTTACAAACTTGGTAGTTTTGCTGTGTGTGTGTTGTACTGGTAACATTTCTTTCATTTTCACTACTAAATTTAGCTAAGAGAGCTGAGAATTAATGGCTACGGCGGAGAAACACCCACCACAGTCCAAGACGGTGTCGCAGGTGGAACCACCTCTGGCGGCCTTATCGGACGACGTCGTTCAGGAGAAGGCTGTTATTCCACATCCCGAAGAGAAGGTTCATGAATCCAAATCTCTTGCTCTTGCTCTGGCCGAAAGTAACTCTCTCTCTCTCTCTCTCTCTCTCTCACACACACACAAACACTATGCTTTTATGATATAATCCGTTCAATTGGAGTATGTATGTGAGTCTGTATGACAGTGGATTCTTTTCCAACACTTTCTCATCCATTAAACAGACTATGCTGTAACAATCCATATTTTTTAAATTTCTTTTTTTTTTTCGAAAAGATCAGGAGTTTTCATTCCCCTTCATGAGGAGATGTTTCCTTTGATTGGGGTTTTTTTTTTTTTTGGGGGGGGGGGTAAATAAATAATTATACATATGACAGGGGGATTATCTTTTGTTGATTCAAGAAAATGCAAAGCTTTCTTAATGATTATGTAGATATGAAAGGCTTTAACTTTGTCAATAGTAAATTTTCCACTTAAAAAAAAGAAGGGTTTGATAATTGTTAGTGTTCCTAGGGAATATGCCACTTTTGTGAAAAATCTAACTTGTGGGGTTGCCCAGTCTATGAAAAGTATTATTTTCAGTGTCTTATTATCATTACTTTCCAAGGCTGTCAATGCCATTTGGGATTTTCTCATTCTGCATATGATTTAGTGTGTCAGTATCTTCTTTTTGAACATCAGGGATGAAATCAGCGGTATTCAATTTCAGTCATTTAGATGTTTTAATAGTTTTCTTATTAAGTTTAGGGATGCATGTGGATTTTCCTTAGAGCTTGGTGAGTAGTCTGATACATATACGAGTATGATATTCAATACAGTATTCAGTTCGGATATATTGACCTTAACGGAGTTTTTGTGCTTTATAGACAGACACTAATATGATCATATATACTAATTACCTCACTTCTTTGAGTTGTATTTTATGGAAGGTTAAAAAGTGGAAAAAGGGATTGCTAATTTATTTTCGCCATAACCTATTGAAGGTCCCAAGATGAGAGAGGTAGATAGATTTTTATGAGGGGCTGATTGCTTTAATATCATGAGGAGAGTTTTTACTTTCTGAATTGTGGTGGGTAACAATATTGCTGATATTGAAGGACACAAGCAGGAGATTCAACCAACTAAGATAAGAAAACTTACAATGAGAGGGTTCATCCTCAATTTTAATCTCTAGTTATCAGAAATTCAGGATCTTATTAGGTATGAATCATGGCATAACAAGTAATGTGAGAACTGATTTGAAGTGTTTTCAAAGTTCTTACAGGTTATCTGTATACTCCAACGATTCATCTGAGTATGACACCGATTACTTGACATGGGTTCCCTATCCTGACTGTTTTTCATTGAAGTGTATTCGTGATATTTGTATTCATTTGTCCTACCATGGTTGAGAGACAAGACAGGCTTACAGCGAGGCTCATGCAGCCGTCTAATTCGAAGCATACTTTTCGTGCCTAGGCTCATGTTGTTGGGCCTTTGTGGAGTCTAGTTTTGTGTGGTGATCTAGATGATGACCTGACCCGAAATAATGGTTGTAGCGCTCATGGACAAGCTCCCGAGGAAAATTTTTTGGGCCTGTTTTGTAACCCGATACGTAGGACATATAAAAAACTTGTTACTTTGATGATTAGGGTTTGAGTGTAACTGTATAGCCGTCCTCTGTATTCCGCTCTCTCAATAGTGAAATCTGTGCAATCCGTGCACCTTCGTGGACGTAGGCAAATTGCTGAACCACGTAAAATCTGTGTGTCTTGTTCTTTCTTGCTTCTCATTGTTTTATATTTTTTGTTTGTTCTTTGATTGTGTGTGTTTGTTTGTGGGTTTAAAGCACATTGGATTCCAACAAATGTCTTGTTCAACAGTTGTATGTTGCCTTAGTACCACCATTTCCAAGAAAATTTGCTTAGATGAAAACTAATTCTGGAATTGTTTCTGACTTTTGCAGAGACTCCAGATCCTCCCATAGAGAAACCTTCAAAGGGCTCCTTTGACAGAGGTAGGAGTACAACTTAGTTCTTCTTTTCCTCGATCTCCTGAATTCCAATAAAATACAAAAAAAGCATAACACATTAGATGTCCTTTGGAGGTTAAGTGTTCATTTTGATTTGCTGGTGTTGCAGAATTTCATGAAAAACCTCATGATTAGAGATTATGTGATGCATTGTGAACAAATTATGGGCAGTTTATATTTTATGGGATTTCCTTGGGAAGTGAATTGCTCTCTCTCTCTCTCTCTATATGTTGTACTCAGATGTCGCTCTCGCAGACGTTGAAAAAGAAAAGAGGTTGTCTTTTATCAAGGCATGGGAAGAAAGCGAAAAAACAAAGGTGGAGAACAAGTAAGGCTTTCTCTAACTGTTAACTGTTCTTTCTGGCATTTGGTAGGATTGGAATATTCACAAATTGCATTTGAACCCAAAGGCAAGTTGATAGATTTCTTACTTACTAGATACTCTTGACTCTTGAGTATCTCAAAAAGGCATCTTTTTTGTTCTTAGTCCCTTCTATCATTTATGTCTCTAGTTCTTGTTTTTTTGGTCTTGTTCTGCACATATCACAAATCCCTTACTTATTCCTGATAGTTCTGTTGAGTCTTGACAATAAGGATGAAGTCTCTGTTTTTGCCAATAGCTTCCTTTCAATTAATCTCATCAGAATCCAGATTATGAAGCACTGTTGACATAAAATATTCATATTCCGCGGGTCTGATGAAACAGAAATGTTTTATTACAAAATTTGGTGTAGGATCATTGGTCAGCTTATAGCCTAGCCCAACTGACTATCATCTGAGTATTAGACTTTTTTCTTGATGCTAAACACCTCCATACATGTGATCTGGGTATGATTGACCTTTTTAAGTTTCATTGCTGCTGTGCAATAAAATAAAGGTACATTAGACAAATTTGCATATTTGATTGTTTTTTATTGAGATTGAATTTTGATTTATAGCAATTCTCAAGGTGATACCATTCTAATAAGCAGTTTATCCTCCATAGGAATGAGGAGTTTGGCTATAGCATTAGATAAACCTTGTTATGGTTATGCCAGCTATACAAAAGGTGGGTGGGGCTTCAGGCAGCCGGCTCCCTGAATAGAATCAATTCAAATTCCATCGATTGTAGCATTACGTTGTAGCCAGTGACTGCTCTAGTTGGTGTGTGGTGAAGTAACCCTTCAAATGCTCTCTCTGCCCATGCCAAATACCCCCAGCCGGTTCTGCCTGGTAGGGCCAGGAGCTGGTTTGGGGAATTACGGGGCTTTACTTTTATTCAGGGGGTAAGAATTGTTGACATACTGAAAGTAAGTGAAATGATCAATCTGTATTGTGCACGAACTATATGACAAGTAATAAGTTTTGTTGCAAGCTCTCGGCAATTGAGAGGACCACGCTTTTATTGATTTATAAAAATTGATTCACTCCTCTATTCTAGTGAGAATGAGTGAACGTACTCATAGCTCTCTCCCCATAGCCCAAAAAACGTAAGGGAGAGAGGATACAAGGTAGTGATTGAATGACCCATTCAATTTATGTTGTTATACTTTTAGTCTGACTTTGTTGACTATCTCTCTTAAGTGAGTGAAGTAACCCATCTAAATGGGGCATCTCAATTTAAAATGTAATGTAAAAGTCCCTATACTGATTTCCATTGAGAAAAGAGAAGTACAATTATGAAATTTTCTTTGACTTCATTGAAATTATTTGACAGGGCCCAAAAGAAGCTCTCTGATGTCGCTTCGTGGGAAAACACCAAGAAAGCATCTATTGAAGCTCAAATGAAAGCAATGGAGGTAACCAGAGCCCCTAGTTTAATCTGTGTGCCTTGATGGAAAACTTCCCATAAGTATTAATAGTTTGAAACATGATTCACCATGAAAGATGCCTTAATTAAGGTAGTTTTCGTACAGTACATAAAATTACCTGTGTGGAAGATCAGAAGATGATTTTGTATTTTCACATGGGAGCAGGAACTGAATAGACCAAACAAACAGAAAGTAGAGCACTTATCGTAACTTTCAAACTTATAAATGAAGTATGATATGCTATATAAACATTTGATTGTATGGATCGTTAGTCTGTTTTTATATTCAATGATAACTTGGTCAATTATGAGCAGGAGAAACTGGAGAAGAAGAAAGCAGATTATGCTGAAAAAATGAAAAACAAGATAGCTTTAATTCACAAGCAAGCAGAAGAAAAAAGAGCCATGGTTGAAGCCAATCGTGGTGAAGAAATTCTCAATGCTGAGGAGACGGCTGCAAAATACCGTGCAACTGGGAACACTCCAAAGACAGGTTTTGGGTGCTTTGGAGGTTGAACTATATTTAGCCCGGAATCAAAGCTATGTGAAAGTTTCAGTATTCGCATGTAAATTTTTCTTGTTCGTTGTTTTTTGTGTGCATCTGTTTGCAAACTCAGGAAATGTTTGATACTGTGTGTGGTATAGGAGCAACATAGTTGGTTTGTGAAAAACAAGTTTAATGTTGATGTTGTATTTCTACAAAGTATTTTTGAATATATGGAAGCTCCATTTGTTTTGTAAAAATGTAAAGAATTATCCTGAGTGGGAAAACTGAATCCATATATTTGCATTTCAGAGTAGTTTTTTTTTTCCCAGCCGCAGACAATCAACAAAATAGAAACCATTCAGCATTCCAAAAATTCTTCTTTTGTATGTAGACACACATGTATAACAGATGACCTAGTTCATACTTTATTCCTATGAAATCCTACACTTCAATACGAATACTGTTAATTTGATTAGAGCTGATTGTATCCTGAGTTGAAGCATACCAGTGGATGAACTTGTAATTGGTACCGACGTGATGAGTTGCTTTTGGTTGTATTGATTTGTGTTGACTTGAGTTACCCAAGTCAGACACTTTTTTCATCACCGAATAATGCTGGCAGTACGAGTTACCTAAGATAGATAATGATACAAGGTAAAACACACAAAGCCAACAACAGTCTTCATATAGCTATTACCTTGCTGAGCTTGAAGCCGATTTGATCAAGTTCTTGTCTTACCAGTCAACATCCCCATTATCCTGTATTTGGTAGCTTGGTGATAACCACATTCATGTTAGCTTTCGAGGGCCAGGGTCCAATTTTATGGTTTTCTAGGGCAGCCTACCCATAAAGTCAAGGTTCCAACACCAAACAAACAAAACACAGGAATTTATGTCAACGAGAATTAGCAAAAAGAAATACAGAACACACACACATAGGTTCTCTCAATGACAATCAGAGAAAGCATTAGACACTGAAAATGATGTTTTAAAGGCAGAAATATGTCTTCTATATACACATAACAAAGTAGCCGTAAATTGAGCTCCTGACATATCAAGGTCACACCTCACACAGCTGGAAGTACCAAAAAAACGACCAGCTCGATATTTAAGCAACTAAGGCTTTAAAAACATTTGCTACTCTTCTAAAATTGAGGTTGTTATATTGTTCACATGGAGCAAATTTAAGGAGCTTTCAATTGAAATGGCAGATACACGGGACAGTTGACAGTATGTCCGTCTAGGAAGCTCATGTCATTGTTACCAGGGAAATCCAAAAGCAGTTGTAATGCAGATTCAGATGAATCTTCCAACTCATCAGAACTTGATGAAGCCGACCCTGCCATGACATCTTCAGGATACAATCTTCCTACCTTGCATTCTGTATCTTCATTTTGGCTGCTGCTCCCAATAGCAGAGGAACCTGCTGCTGTGAGTCCCATATCTGTTGTACCTGAAACTGACCCATATTTTGTTGATGAAGATACTTGAGAAACAGGACTTTGGCAAGCAGTTTTGTCCTCCTTATTGAAAGTCCGAAACGATTCTCCAACCTCAGAGTTCCACATGCGAAGAAAATAGTCAGAATCAGTTCTTCCATTAGAGGGTGGAACTAAGAACGATGACTCCCTTGAAAGACGAGCCTCAGCTTCTAGCCTAGCACTCTCCCATTGCGCCATGTGACGGGTGGACAGGGATGCAGGCAGCCTCTTCAGGGGTCCATTGGAGTTAGGGGAGAGTTCATGTGTTTGCGGATCAATACCCATGCATAGCAGGCGCTTCTTCAAGTGGGTATTCCATAAGTTCTTGATCTCATTGTCTGTCCTTCCTGGTAGTTGAGAGGCAATGGCAGCCCACCTGAATGTAACTATTTCAGTCTTTGAGAGAGTTAACAGCTCTATGGAATTTTAGAAGCGCCCTTAAATGAACCAAAACGGTTAAATTCATATAGGCTTGAATATAAAAACATAAGGACTACCTCAGCATATACATAAGAATGACCACAGGTCATATTGCCTAAATGACTCGATTCTTCTGATAACTGCTCAGAACAATCACTCATGTACTCAAATTTGTGCACTTTTTGACGGTATTACTCTTCACTACTGTAGAGCGCCATTTAGAAGCTCCTAAACTAAGCATGATTACATTGGTCTTTAATGAAACAGCACGCAATCTAGACAAACAGATTGCTGATTTATCGTGTATTGAGTTCATTCATAGAGGTCTCAATGAAGGATTTACATTAGAACTGCCTTGGACAGCTAGACTGGCACCTAAGCCCATAGTTCAGTTGTAGAAAGGAAGAACAAGCTATTCATTTTGTTCATCTTCTTCATAGGTTTGCTTTCAATAAATTGATTTGGGAAAACAATGCTCATTAACTTGGCAGGAGATGGATGAAAGTGGAAGTAATGACATATATGTTTTGAATTCCACTTAGGTTGTGATTCACCTTGGCATACTGCTACTTGTTTATGGCTTTTACATAAAAACTCGAAATCCATATTTTTTTACAGAAACAGGACTGACATTAAAAGAAGCAGCAGCAACTCCAAGTAAGATCTTATAAAGACGGTGTATGTACCTGTTGCCAAGAATTCCATGCAACTGTATGACAAGGTTCTCTTCTTCTAGACTAAAAGGACCGCGTTTGATGTCTGGCCTAAGATAGTTTGTCCAACGAAGCCTACAACTCTTTCCACAACGAAGAAGACCTGGAAAAAGAGAAAATTCATAATCTATATGGATGAAAAAAATAGCAACCTTCTAATCTTTCGAACTCCTCGAATTTTTTCTTTCATTATAGGAACGTTATCCTGCAAACTAGGAGCATTCTTGGAAACATGTCTGCATAAGACTCCATTACAATTACAATTACAATTTCACATATAATACCAATACAGCAAGAAGCTACTGGGGTACAGTAGCACAAAGAAGTAACTAATGACAAACACAGGCTAGTTAGCAAAAACATTCATCTATAAATAAACACAATTTTTTCTTCCTTTTCCTCTTAAAATCTCAAAAAGAAGGACTTTTGGAAGTACTTGTTTTAATCTACAAAAATTAAAAGCAAATTTCCTAATCGAAAGAAGCTAACTACTTTTGAAACCCATCTCCAGCTTATAATAGAAGGGCTAATACCATGACAGGATTTGCAGAACTTTCAAAAAATCATAAAAGCATTAGAAAATTTAGACTTTGTTTGATTTTCGTCTTAAGAAATAGTATGTAAAAATTATTTTTGGGATGAGTTTTAAAAAACTATTTTTAGTGTCGCAAAATTTGTTTGGTTATATTGTTTCAAAAACAATTCTACAAAATAGAAAATATTTAAACTTATTTGGCCAGTAACTTTAAAAACAATGAAAAATTGAAATGTGGTGGGCGTGGTGGTAGTGATGGAAGTGTGGTGGAACTCTGGTGGTGGGTGGTGGTGGTGGGAGGGTGGTGGAAGTGTGCTGGTGGGTGGTGGTGAAAATGTGGAAGTGTGGTGGACAGTGGCCGTGGTGGTGATGGAAGTGGAAGTATGATGGTGGTGGTGATGGTCTGAAATGCTAACTAAACAGAGCGGTAATTCTTCACTATTGTAACTATCAAACCGTTTTATCTATGGCATCGTCAATTTCACTCAATTGTAGAATCCATTATTTACATGGACCTGCCTCCATGTAAAATTCCATTTTCCCATAATATTATCGAATGTTTTCTCATTGACCAAACAACAACCACCCAACTATCCTACCAACAAACCAAACTTTATCTCCTAAACTTTATGCTCTAATCATTTTAGATAAATTATATAAGTCCGAATTCGTCTTCGTCTTTGTCTTTAGCATATCTCCTTATTTAGAGATATTTGGACTCATCTCGGTGGTTTTAACAAAGTTTTATAATAACTCGACTACCTAACGCCATCCCCTCTTTGTCCAAACTTACAGCGTTGGCGGAAACAACACCAACCCATATGAAACCAAATATAAGCTTGTGGCCAAACCACGTGTCTCAACCACCGAATCTGTAAAATGAGTTGACTCGGAGTGTAACATTTATAAATTTTTTTTAGGCGAAGTAGAAAATAAAATTCATTTTTCTGTTTAATTTTCGTTTATTTTTTTTTTTTGGGCCAGCCGCCCCCCGAAAGTTAAATTTAAAAAAGACCAACCAGTCAAGCTAACAAGGAAACTCGTTCTATGTACGAGTTGACTCTGTACATGCGAGTTCAAAATTTGAGCAGTGAAAAGAAGGCAGAAGAACCTGCAAACTTAGGGAGAGAACGCCAGCTTCCATGGCCGTTCTTCTTGATGTATTCAATGAGAATCTCATCTTCTTCGGGTGTCCATGGGCCTCTCTTCAACCCTAATTTCTTGTCGCAGCATGGTGTTCTCCCCATTGTTCTCTCTCTCTTTCTCTCTCTCTAAACAACAAGATCAAGACTTCAGGAGGGTTTAAGCTTGAAGATGAAATCTTCGGACACAGAGAGAGAGACTGAGTGATGAAAAGACGTGTCAAAATGGAGAGAGAGAGAGAGAGAGAGAGGAGAACCTTCAAAGCCGGCTGTGCAATAAAGTAACACAATGATATGATGCGTATATCATATACGTCTATAAATGACTGTGTATCTGAAGGACGGCTGAGGAAATTGAACTGTGGATTCAATGGGACAAGAAAGTTGAATTTAATGTTGTCTGTTCTTTCGAGGTTTAATGTCGAAGTCAATTTTCATCTATATCATCGTTAATCTTTTAGGGGCGAGAGAGTAGAGAGTGCAGTGACTAAATTTTTAAACACAAAGAATCAGATGAGAGAGAAATGAGAAAGCAGTGAAACCAGGAAAATATGCGTGTTGGGTTCAAAAGAGAGAGACTAACATATTTGAGTGAATTATGTGTGCTGGAGATCAATTGTAGAAAGGAGAGAGAGGGGGGGGGGGGGAGAGAGAAGATGCATTGAAGATGAAAGTGAAGAGCATTAATGGCGGATTCAAGATGAAAGGACGACTAGGAGAGATCTTTCTCACCATATATGCACTCTGCGCACACAGGCATTAAATGATATGTAAAGATAGAGATGAGAAGAGAGAAGGGCATTAATGGCGGTAACAGAGACCATGCACAGAGAGAGAGAGAGAGAGAGAGAGAGAGAGAGAGAGAGCCAGAGGCCATGGCCTCATACAGGACCATATTTTTTTAACAAAATTTAGTTAATGTTAGTCATATAGAATAGCTGGTCAGTCTTAAGTAAAAATTTGGAAAAAGTCTTAAATAAACAAAATTTGAGAAAAAGTCTTGAGTAAAAATTGATCAGTCTAGATTCAGAGTCCAAGTCCAACTAATGAGATAGGCTCAAATAAGTTAAAAGGGAAAGTTAAGTTCAGCTCACGAAGTTGGGCCTGTCTGTGAGACCTAAGAAGATCAATGTACATAAAGAATAATTATTAGGATAATCACTACTTAGAGATCAATATTATCTTTAGTTGTATCCATCTTAGTTGTAGCTATCTTCCTTGAAAAACTAGTCACCTATCCCTTCATATCACCGCCTCAACCAAAACTCTATACCTATAAATTATAAACTCTCTCCATATGAGAGGAGCGTATCTCTCTATATATCTTACACAGTTATCTCGCTCATAGCTCACAGTTTTCTCTCTTATAGTTACTAAGAGCATACCCTTACTCTCTCTCACCTACTATTGCATCAATAAATATCACCGACCACTGTTGTCTTCTTCAAAGTGGAGTCGGTCACCTTAATTGAACTCTATACATATGTGTGTGTTGATCCAAAATTTGTCTCCTTCATTAATTATTCTGAATCATACACTCGACTATTGATTGTGCATAAATCCACTTTCATGCATAATCATTTTGACACCGCCTGTGGGAACCGATTTGATTCTCTCCTTATAGTCTTCTTACATCCAATGGCAAGAACAACCAGCTCCATGAACCACCAAGTAGAAGATGACTTGCCACATCATGACGAGGTTTTGCCACCACCAATGAAAAGTAGAGACATGCAAAATCTACTATTTCATTAATTTGGGATTAAAAACTCAAATTGAGTGAGGAAAAAGTATTTTTTGGAGAAATTTGGTGCCCAAATCGCCTTAAGCAATTTGTATGTCATAGATCTCAAAAAAATACCCAAATTAAAAAAAAATCTCCTTAAACGGACAACCAAGCACAAAACTATGGTCTTTCAAAGTTTCATCGTTTCTTCATCATTGTCTAGTACTTCAACCAACGCCTAGCATCTCAAGGCCAACGTCAGTGCCCAACGAGCTCCCCTGGCCCCACCTCCTGTGCACAGGCATTGCCCTACTAGCTATGCCTCGACGCTGCCTCTGTCTGCGAGGGCGTCGCCCAAACCAGCCTAGTCTCCTATGTCACCCAAGCCTCCCAAGTGTCCACTTGGCCTCCCAAGCCTCACCCATTGTCCGAGGCGTCACCCATTGTCTGGGGGTCACCCATTGTCTATACCAGAGGCATTGCCCATTGCTCCCTTGTGGCGTCGCTCAACCTGGAGCCCTACCGAAACCAGCTCCACAACAACAGTGGTGATTGCGCACCTGCTAAAGCTAGCTCCAAAACCAGTGGCGTCGTCTAACTCCTCTTCGCATCAACCAGCAACAGTGTCACTCATGGGGCCAACAGTGGTGTCGCCCACACATCTTGGACCAAGGCCTCGCCCACTATCGTGTTGCCTGACACCTCTTACACCCAGGCGTAGACCAGAGTCAGACTACCTCTTACTTTGGCGTTGCTACCAGCAAGGACATCGCCCAAACCGTTCTTGTGCAGTCTACAAACGTCGCCTCCTCTACCTTTGGCGTTGTCACCGGTAAGGGCGTTGCCTAGATCGTATCTTTCTGCCACCCTGCTTTGATGCGTCTCCCAGCCTGGCCTCGCTTGCCTGGCACCATCTCCTACCCCTGCGCGGGTGTCGCTCTGCTTCCCCTGTCTTGTGCCCTGCCTCCTACAGCCAACTTGCCGCCTAGTCACGTGCCCAGCTTGCTGCCTAGTCTGGTGCCACCACATGTGCCTATACTTGATTCAGATTAAAAGGAAGGATTAGACACCTCAACTCCAAGCTCACTTAGTAAGGTGTCGCCTCCAGCTATGTTAGGTGCGTCACATAGGCCACCCGCAGCGTTGCCTAAGCGCACCGCCTGCATCACGTGCCCAGCTCATCCAGTGATGCCCTAGGTGTCTGGTGTCACCCCTCCTCATGCATTAAACGGCCTCACTTTCGTGCCCCACGTACATACTCCACTGGTGCTATCCTATTGGTGCCCTCTAGTTGCCCTTACTTCCCTTTCTATCTTTTGAGAGAAAGCCTCCCAAGTCGTCAAAAATTCGGTCTCGCTCTGCCTCTGTTTTCACATAAATAGATTATGTTTTCAGCTTAGCAGCTCTCCCGAGAGTTGTCAAAAGCTTGGCCTCACCTGTTTCTGCTTTCAAGTAATCTATGTCTCCAGCTTTGCGATCTCTCGCGAATCACCAAAAACTTGGCCTAACGCTGCATCTAGTCTCAAGTAAGCAGTTTCAATCTCCAACTTATCGCCTCTCTCTCAAATCGCCATAAAAGTTTGGCCTAACTTTGCCTTGCCTCTGTTCTCACGCAGACAATCTTAATCTTCAACTTAGCGTCTCTCTCACGAGTTGCCACAAGTTCGACTCAACTTTACCTCTATTCTCAAGCAGGTAACATATGTCTCCAGCTTCGCGGCTCTCACGAGAGTTGCCAAAATTTTGACTTCACTTTGTCTTTGCTGTCACGCAGGCAACCTATATCTCCAGCTTAGTGGTTCTCACGAGAGTCGCTAGAAATTTTGGCCTAACTCTATCTCTGCTCTCACGCAGACAACCTCAATCTCCAACATAACGTCTCTCTTATAAGTCGCCACAAGTTCGGCCTAACTATGTCTCTACTTTCAAACAGCCTATATCTCCAGCTTAACGATTCTCATAGAGTTGTCAAAAACTCGACCTCACTTTGCCTCTACTTTTAAGTGGCCTCCAGCTTAGCAGCTCTCACGCGAGGTGCCAAGAGTGAAAAAGTGAAAAAAAAGACTTTAAAGGAGTGAAAAAAAGCCAAGAGTGAGTGTGTGTGAATTTTTTGGTGAAAAAGTGAAACAATTTTTTTTTTTTGAGAGAGAAGATAAGGGTAAACAATTGGTATAGAATTTTGTCTGAACGTAATCATAGCAGTCCACACTCGTGAAGAAGCCCATCAATAAGATCTAAACATCTAAAAACAATGTTCTCAAAAGTCTGACTTAAGTCATAACCTAACCTCCTAAATCACAAATCTACCAGTAAAAATCTCTATAAATTAAATTTTACTGGTTAATTTTATGAGAACTAAAAAAAACTTTAAATGGGGATACTATAAGAACATCTTCAATCTATTAGCTAAATCTTTATTTTTAGTTAATTTGGCGAGGCTTGCTCAAAAAAACTACTCCAATCGACTCACCATCTTGCTAGCTAAAAACTTAGGAGATCTTTGTTGCTCGCCAGATCTGGGGAAGAGAATAAGCTCGCCTCTTTCTTCATCGTCTTCTCCAACGGTTAGTCTAGGTAATCTTTTTCATCTTCCACACCCAAGCTGCAAATCCCCTCCCCTAATTTCGAAACCCACCTCCCCCAACCCACTCTACAACCCATCTACCCCCTACCTCCCCCGAAGCCCATTCTAAACCCCCCTAATTCTAAAAATCCCTCATTATGAAAAAACCAAAATTCTGAAAACCTCCCTCCTCCAAATTCTGAAAACCCCCTTGTATAATGAAATATTTAATTTTAGATCCTATTAAATATTAATGTAAGTATTTATGAAAATTTTAGGTTTATGAGACATGTATCATGTAATTATTTTGTGTTATTTGAAGTGGATGAGTGTTAAAATGCTATTAACGTGTATTATTTGAAGCTTGATTAAAATTATTGTTATGATATGATTTTAGTTGAGTTGATGATAATACATGGGGAATGTCCTATTTATACATTTTTAGAATTATGACCGTTGTAAAATTTAAAACTTTGATGACACAGCATGACACGTTATCATTATAGCGCTGATGTGTTAGATTACATAGTATTTTTGAATTATATTATTAAAAATTAGTTGAAATAGTTAACTAAATAGATAGTATGATTGGAGTAAATTTAAAAAAAATTGCTAATTAAAGCAAAAAATATAATATTTAAATATATTTTGATTAACTATTTTGCTGAGATGGGTTGGAGTTGCTATAACGGCTAACTAGGGGTGTCCATGGGCCGGGTTACCCATGGATCTCGTTACCCGGCTCGAAAAAATAGACTCAAAACTCGATAAGCCCGATAGTTGGCCGTCTGAACTCAATATCCTTAAAAAAAAGGGCTTGAGTTTGCCCTCAAACTCATTACCCGATCCGAAACCCGACCCAAGAGTCTGGCCGTCAAGCCCAACCTGTCGACAAAGCCCGCCCACCCTTCATTTAAAAAAAAGTTATAATTTTAAACTATTAAATTTGAAATTTTGAAATAAGTCTTTTAATATTATAATTTAAAATTGTAAAAATTTAGATATTATAAATAATGTATTATTTTATTTTTCATGTATTAAGTATATAAGTTTTAAAGGATAGAGTAATGTAAATGATAAATAAGTGAGTAGGTGTCAATCTAGTTGAGATGTATTTATTCTATTGGATGTTATTTATTTTCTAATTAAAAATAAAATTATTCATTATTTTATTTTTATCTATTTTGATTCTATTTTTTATTCAAAAATATAATTTACACAAATATTAAATTACAAAAATATTTATTATTTTTAAATTAAATTATATATAAAAAAATACACGAGCAAACTCACCCAGTAAACCGGTCCAATAAACTTACGGGTTAAACTGTGAATAGTCTATTCTTACCCGAAATTTGGCCCAGCCCGACCTATGATCACCCTACTACCAACTGCTGTAAAAGTAAATATGTAGTCATTTGGTCCGTACACTGACGTGTGGTTAATAGATCTGAAGACACTGAACAGTGCCAACTTGATGCAACAGTTAAAAGAGGTTCCATGTCTAATAGCTTGGCTGACCCACACATGTTTCTACAGTGTCTAGAATGCAGTCAAATCGGTGAGTCAAATTCACTGTTGGGATAAATTGGACCCTACTAATTTTGAGAAGTTTCACGCTACTGTCTGTGACGCCGGTACTAAAAATTTATAATTTTTTAAGATGTAATTTATAATTTAAAAATATACGATCGATTATAAAATATTAAGATTGATACCACATTTTTTATAATCAATCATAGGTATCTAAAATTAATTATGACCTCCTTTCACTAGTTATAACTTCTTTCTTTTAAATTATAATTTTACCATATAAAATAATAACCAATATTATCAATACCAAAAAAGAAAAATTCAGTACTATAGAATTTTCCATTTTTGTGGGAATTAAATTGATGGGAAACACTGTCAATATTGTTCTCCTCATCTTTTATCGTACCAAAATTTATAATTTTTTAATCTCAAAAATATTATGATCAATTGTAATAATTAAATTTATTAAAAGTCATTAAAACTAGTTAAAATGAGTTACAATTAATAAGTAAAAAATTATAACCAATTCAAGTAATTTATAATTGATCATAATATTTTATAATTGATTATGAATTATCTCAATTAATTATAATTATCTTTAAAAATAATAACTTACAATATCATATAATTTTTTTTTTGGGGTACTGTAGTGCTATTCTAAATTTGATTGATTGAGTGCACTAAATGTGAAGTAAGACACCAAAAAATATAAGAAATGTAATTGGCAGTAACGTTTTCTATTGCCCCATATCAACTCCAATGCAAATTACACAAAGCAAATAAAATATTGCAAGTTGAGGAATAGAAGAGAAAATCTAATAGTTCCAAAAGAATAGAATACAACTTAGGAATGTTCAGATGCTCCCAAAAATATTCTAGTAAAATTGAAACATCCATTTTGACCCAAATATTAATGACCCATTTAATACGAAAAATAGAAAGTATGAAGGATGAAAAATAGAAGGGATACACTTTCTATCATTCAAAAAAAATATATAAATGATATTCTTTCATTCATTTGTGTTTGATTGGATGGATGAAAAATAAAAATGACTAATTTTTTTTTTTTGTGCTGGCTAAGATTAAAGATGACAATCAAATCATGTCGTGTCAAATTCATGTTAAGTCATTACAGATTTATGTCGAATATTAATCAAACTTAACTTATTTAACTAATTGTTTCATATCAAATTGAGAATTGACCTGTTTATTTTCGTATTTTGTTCGTGCTCGTATTCATATTGACCCATATAAATTTTGCATAAAAATTTAACAGTAACGTTATATTTTCATTTAACTGAATTCATGTTAATATTTTTTTTACAAACTAAAAATTAGCTTATATAAATATAATAATAATAAGTAAAAATATATTTTTTGTATAATAATTATGTCAATAATACTAGTTAAAAAAGTTAATTTCGAGTTATCATAAAAACGAGAAAATATAAAAAATATTTATTTTTAAATAAATAGATTTATGGTATCAATTTTTAATTTGACTGATTAAACTGAATATAAGTCTTCTATGTTTGTTGTTCGCGTGTCAGGTCATTTTTAAGTTCATATCGAATTATAATCAAATTCATGTCATAAAATTTGTGTCAAATTCGAGTCACGTCTTCGTGTTGAATCAAAAAATTTTACCCCTATTTCAGATGAAATTTTTTTTTAATTTAATTTTTTATTTTTATTTTTAATTTTTTTAAAAATATATATATAATATATATTTTGTCATTGTATTTTTATATATAATTAATGTATACATAATATATGTATATATCAAAAGATATATAGACAAATAAGATACATGTCAACACAAATAATTAACTTTCCATCTAATTTTGGAGAGATTAATTTTAGTGAGTTGGAAAGAATATTAATCCATCAACTTTTTCATTCTTCCTATTTTCCTTTCTTACCAAACATGATATTTTATTTATCCTTCCAACTTTTCATCCTTCTATTTTTCTATTATACCAAATGGAGCATAAAGGAGAGTTGTGCAACAACACATGAGAACCTTTGATGTGCAAAGATGGAAATTATCCCCTCAATGATGTGAAATTTACCAGAAATTTGATGATCAGACACACAAGCTAGAAATGAAACCATGTTTTTTATGTGTTAAGCATACATACCATTTGTAAGCGACACAAACTAATCCGACAGCAAATATTACCAAATCCAAGACAATTGCAACGCAAACCCAGTATTAGTCGGGGAATTATGTACCATTAAAGATTTCATGTCCTGTTAAAGTTCAAAGGACATGAGAAACCTGACATCCAAGAGAACTCCAGGGTTTTAGCATCAAAAACCAGCCGTACGTCTTCCATAAGCGTTACCTTCAGAATCATGCCCCTCCGAAGCTGAGTTGTATACCTTCTCAAACAGGCAGCCCCACCAATCCTGCAAAAAAGCAAAGTCCGAAAAATCATGATTTATTAAAAAAAAAAATGCATGTTTTGATAATTGGGATATGAGGCATGTATAATGAACAAACGGTAAATAACCAAATATATGATCACGTATCCTTTCATGATTATGGAATGACAACACATGCCTGCCTTGCTTTCTCTAGGAATGTGCATATTCTTAAAATTTGCTATTCAGAATGCCTGCCCAGATACGTTCGCACTGGCTCTTCAACTCTATACTTTTGTTCCCCAATACAACTCTTCCATGATTTTATTCCCTGAGCTACAAAAATTACGATGACCCCAAAGCCTGAATTCATCTTTGGGTCAGTCAGATATGATTGGACACACTGAAACATCATCAGGCAATAAGATCCAAACTATACGGTCACCTAATGTGTCAACATTTTATCTGTTCAATCATAATAAAGATTAATGGGTCAAATAATCTGTGGACTAAGAATTCAGGCAATATAAGTCACCCTTAACATGATACAAACAATGCCCACTAATATGAAAAAAAGTGGAGCATTCCTATATCCAGTACATCCAACTTCTAACAAATGTTTGCCCCTAAAGACTAAACATACAAGGTAAATAAGACACTATAACATAATGAACAAAATGCTCGATGACACAGAATAGAGGTAGAGCATTTCCACATCTAGCATCAAGTGTATCCAAACACATTTGCCCCAGAATTTGGAAGTAATTTTGGCAATCTACACAACAGGAAGATCACCAAGCATGTAAACAAGCTAGTTTATCTACACAATCAAAACATATAATTGCAAATTAATATCACGCGATAACAATTAAATCTGCCGAGTCCAAGCTTACAGGAATCAACTAAAAACAAGGTGACCATACGAAGAAACAAAAAAAGCCTGAAGATAAATGATGAAATGATCACGAACATGACTGTAAATCGCGTGCTACATCTTTGTAAATCAGCACTCAAAGTGACAAACTGAAATGCATCTGCAAAAACAACAATGCTCACCATTGTTTCCACTGTTGACCACATAGAAGAATGTTTACCACAAATCACTGGCAGTAAATAGCCTGATCTATATGTGGAGGAATTTGTTTAATCTCAGTCCCAAGTTCTTGTTCCATCCTATACCTGTCCAAAAGGGTATAACAATAGATAAATGCACAGCCCTAAATTATAACTCCAAACTCTTATGTCAAGGCAAACCAAAAAAAAGCGCATACAAATTGAAGCGATCTTCATAAGTGATCAAATTCACAGCTAACCCAAGGTGTCCAAACCTCCCTGATCGACCAACCTGTACAAGGAATAAACATCATGAAGCACAAACACATGCCTACAAACAAAAGTCACCCACAGGCACATACAAACACACACAAACTTCCTAGAAAAACTTAGTCCACCATACCCTGTGTAGATATGTTTCTGCGTTCTTAGGGAAATCAAAGTTGATAACAACATTAACTGCTTGAATATCTATCCCCCTTGTAAATAAATCTGCAATTCAATCCAAAGAAAAGGAACAGAAGAATAAAACTAACAATCTGACACAAATAACCACAACTACTAAGAACTGAGAATAAAAAAACTGGAATAAGAGTGTGATACAAGAATGAGGCAAAGCTATGTCAACCATCTAAGAAATGGCATCAAGGCTCCCCGCAGCACATGGTTGAAAAGTAAATCAGAATTTTGAATTTGTCCACATTTTCAGTAGTATAAAAAGATGGGACCGCTTATGTACCACAGACAACTGCATTTCATATCGGATCAACTTCCATCAAATCACCATAGTTTTGTATGCTTAAAAAACAATACCACAAGTTTCCATACAATTCTTGGAAGCGAGCATAAAATCAAGCTAAGGACAACAACCATTTACAAAATCTATTTTTTGAATAAAAATTACTGTACTATATGAACAAAGTTAAGCTTAACAAGTGTGCCAAATTCCTTTTATCAGCTAAGGGCAAATTAGGTTTGAGTATTACAGAATGGGATTGGACTTAATTAGTCTAAATGACACACAAATATATGTTTGAATCATGTTAAAAAGCCCAGTCTCATTACTTGAGTTAGTGGCCCGACGATACTGTATCACAGAGTACCACATACACTGTACAAAAACATCCCATGTGATAGATGGTCTAAAATATAACTTGATTAGTGTTAAGATTAAAAATAACAACAGTACCCTACCTTCATTTTGGATAGAATTGAATGCAATCATTTTCAACTGAATCCCATACATCACTACCTAATCCAAGCACGGGATTGGTATTATAACAATTGATTCACACCTTATCCCAACCTTGATCCAAACATAACTTACAAGGGATTTAACAAAATGTGACACCAATTATTACTGCCATCACAAAGTAACACATGACAATTTAGATGAAGAAAAACAAAAACAACAACAGTAGTTGGTATAAGCCTGTAAGTCGTGGTAGTAAGCAAACGGATATATACCAGTACAAACAAGATTTCTGCATGCACCGTTGCGGAAATCATGAAAGACTCTGTTGCGATGATCTTGGAGCATCTTTGCATGAATATAAAAGCATGAATAGCCAAGCTCTGTGATTTTCTTTGCCAGCAGTTCTACCCGATTTACCGAGTTGCAGAAAATGATTGATTGGTTGATTTGAAGCTGTAAATTATTACATCAACATGCATACTATTAACGAAAGAAAAAAAACAATATGCACACTTTATGTTACAGAAGAAGTATTAATGACCCAAAAAAGTAAGCAGACTTGGATAGAAAACAAACCTTTGAGAAAAGAGTGTTAAGGCAGTGAACTTTCTGCCTTTCTTCTACAAAAGCATAATACTGTGTTATGCCTTTTAGAGTAAGCTCATCCATAAGGTTGATGACATAGGGCCTATGCAAATATCTATCTTTGAAATCCTTGACTGTAACAGGAAACGTAGCTGAAAACATCAAAATTTGACGATTCATAGGCATAAAACGAATGAGTTCCTCTATTGATGGTTGGAACTCCGGTGACAAAAGCTTATCAGCCTGAAAAACATTAGTACAGATTCCATGAGATTCATAATCTTCCCAAGTTAAGACCAAGCGGATCACAAATAATAATGAAACAGATACCCTTGTACTGCCTCCCACTTGAACATCATCTATTTTATTATCTCTTTCCTTTTTCCAAATCCCAGGATATCAATACTAACTTGACCATCAAATGATGAAAGAAATCGTACAAACTATACTTAGATACTCTAACTTCGAAATCAGAGAAACTGATCCTCATTATTTCATTCTCTGACGTCACTATCTAAAAAGTTAAATCCCTGAAAAATGCTGCTAGCAGCTCCTCCTCTACAGTAAGAATCTCACAAAGTGAAGTGCGTCAAAAAAAGTTAAAAATAAAACTGCCTGCTACCATCTGAGAATGAAATGTTAAGTTCCAAACACAACTAAGAATCTCACGCTGTGAAGTGCGTCAAAAAAAGTTAAAAATAAAACTTCCTGCTACCATTTGAGAATGAAATGTTAAGTTCCGAACATAATGCCCTCCACCCCAGGTAAAAAACAAAACATTGGGTGACAACCATGAACATCTTCAAGATCCCAAATGATAATTTCTCAAGGCAAAGTATGCCAATTCGTTCTCCCCCGTTTACCTGAAACCTTATTACCAGTGAACTTTTTGTATGTGAATCTAACAAAAGAAACAAAAAACATTACCAAACCGAAGCTTTACATTAGACAAAGTCATAAAGCAAAAAAAAAGAGGATTAAAAAAAAAAAAAAAAGCTCTACCTCATCCATAACTAGCATTGAGCAATCTTTCAAAATGCAAATACCCTTTTTCGCTAGATCTAGAATTCTTCCAGGAGTTCCAACAAGTAAATGAACTGGTTGATATAATCGCATGATGTCATCTTTTAGGCTAGTTCCACCGGTCGTGACCATCACTTGAATTTTCAAGTGCTTCCCGAGTTCCTTACAAACTTGTGATGTCTGAAGAGCCAATTCTCGGGTGGGAACAAGAATAACAACTGCAAAAGTGACACAAGTCAGGTAATAACACAAAAAGAACTCATGCTGAGAACTGATTGAAACAAATTGCTAATTTCTATGATAGATATCATTAGAGATTATGAGTTACAGGCTCAAATCAGTCAATCTAAGCAATCTCAGGACCAAAATAGAATTTAAAATCAGTCAAGTAAGCAATCAAAGGTTGATATATTAGCAAGCCATTACATCAATATATCAGCTACAGAATTAGTTTGCCTTGATCTGGAGGAAGAAGCCACCGACAAGCTGGTAAAAACATCATCGCCAAGGAGCCCCGTCAAGAGAAATTCCTTTTGATACCAAAACATGCCAGTGGCATGCAAAAATAACTATGTTGCCTGATACGTACTACTGGTCGACACTTTAAAACCCCAAATGGCATAATTAAGTAAGCTATTCTTCCAAATATAGCAAAATGCATTCCTGCATGCATCTTCTAGAGTCCAACTTCAGCTCCCCAAATTGTCTAGTTAACAAGACCAGAGTACTCTCTTCAAAGAGGGGAAAATATATTGCAATTGAACAATTAAGAAATATCAGGCACATGTCCAAGTAACATGCAACTTAACCAACATAACAGATGGTATACAATATGCTACCATATGCAGCACTGTAATCCAATAAATACTACCTTGAATAGCATTGTTATCTTGATCAATTTTCTCTAAAGCAGGAATACAAAAGGCAGCAGTCTTCCCTGTTCCATTTTTAGCTCTAGCAAGAATATTGCTTCCAGTTAGGGCAATTGGAATACTTTCCTCCTGAATAGGAGATGGTCTTTCGAAACCCTTCTCATATATTCCCATGAGCAGCTCACGCTTGAGAAAATAGTCTTCAAATTCATTTCCTTTGGTGGCTGTCACATCCTGAAAGGAAAATGAAAGTACTCCAATAATAATGAAGTTTCTCCAGCTCTACAACATCCACAGAGCTCTATTTCAATTCAATAAGCATGAATCAGAGAATATATATAGCTACCTCACGTGAATTTTTTATTTTTTTTTAACTTATTTCTTTTGAAGTTTGCTTAAAACCCACTTTCATCAACAGAACATCAAGAGGTTCAATATATGAGACCGATATAATGCAAAGACCATAGAAGTGAAAATATATTCATCAAACACATGACTAGTCAAGAAGTATTTTAACAAAGGCATAATACCTATATGACTAAAAGGAAATCATTTGCCATCATACCTCTGTTTGGTATCGAGTATCAGGTGGTGGAATCTTTAACCGTGCCTTCCAATCTTGTGAACTAACAGGGAAAGAAAGAAAGAATGATGGTTTAGAAGTAGCAAAACACCAACACATTTGGAGTAAAGAATAGCAACATAACTACATAATGGAACTATCAGGCCCAAGTACAGAAAGTTGAAAGACACTCAAGATGAACAACAAATAAGTTGAAACTAGGCAGAGACTGACTACAACTTAAATTTTCCAAAATATTCAAAGATTTCATAGAGAAACCATACCATTGCCATGATTAACAAAGCTAAAAACAGCCTCATAGCTGATCATATCAAATGCCATGACCGGCACCTAGTTTTACCAGGGTTGACGCGGTATTAAGAATTGGTGCATCATGAGTTACTTAAGATGCTTTACACAGCTCACATATGCAGGATTAGGGCAGGTAGAAAAAAAAGTGAATTCAAGATACTAAAGGGTGTGAGGTGGTGACAGCATTTTCAGCTTTCTTTGGATGAGTATTTGGCAGGCAAAATCCCTTCCAAATTTTCCTTAATTTGGGAAACTGCTTTAAAAGCTATCTTGAGGTCTTAACCATTGACAGCAAACCATTTCTTGATTAATTTCGGAGTTGTCAGACATCCAAGTTGCATATTTTTTAACTTCTTAGTTGTTAATTGTGATGCAATATTGGTCACTCATCTGATATTTGTTGGCATGGAGGATAGTCCAGCACTCCAGCAACAAGGCCAAGCAAGTCTTCAAGAGCAGTCTCATTGTACCTTATGCAGAGAGTGTGGAGAAGTGCAGTAGACACACTCCTAAGAAACACCGGTGGATAAACCAAAACAAAAAAATGGGTTTATTATAAATTTTGGAGATGTTGCTGGATTCTGTACAAGTTTCAATTGATTCTTTGGGTAATATTCTTTTTACAGATGGATAATGGTTTTTCTTCACTCTTGTACACATCACGTGTACATGGATTGTAGCAGGCCGGAGGCGCTTTCCAGTATATGCCACATATCTGGAAAAAGTGCAGTTTCAACAGAGCAAACTGCCAAGATGGGCAAAATTACTAACGCTACATTCACTTGTTAGAGTGAAATTAGGATATAGTATATGGATCACAAACCCCATTCAAGCAACCGAAAACCTAAGAATTTGACTAAGATCGTCAGTTAAACTGGTACAACTCAGTTCTCCTGAAAGTTCAACTAGCTTGAAAAAACATTGAATTCTTAAGCAACTCAAGTCATCCCAAAAACAATTTGAAGCAGAAAAGAAGCAATCATATTCCAATACCTAAATTCGACATAACAATGTCTTCCCACCTACACCTTCTATATTATTTTCAAAAGAATGGAGGTACAATCCGACTACTACGTTAACACAGACACAAAAACATTGGGACTCAATCAAACTCAGAAATATCATGACATAATTTTACAACCGTCATGCAGTGAATGATACACAATAGTTGGGACTAAAAAACATCAGGATTTGCATTAAACCTTCAAACACGAAAGCAGATTAAACATATAGTACCTGGAATCAACCGCTTCGGACTGTATGGTCTTTTCGACCTCATCTGCGCTAGATTCTGTAGCCAATTGGTTCCGTCTCAGCCACTGTTGTTGCAGTTGATGTTGATGTTGGTGTTGTTGTTGTTGTTGGTGCTGTTGCTGTTGTTGTTGCTGCTGCTGAAGCTGTTGATAATACGGCACTGCACTTCTCTGCACGTACTGCTGCTGAGAAGGATTTCTTGGTTGAAAACTAGGGTTCCCGTTCCCATTCCCACCGCCTCGGCCGCCACCCATCCCCGGCGGATATCTACCTCGCGAATTCATCACAATTTACAGCGATCAAACTCAAACCCCAACAATTAATTCAATTTTCGAACCAAACCCCTTGGAAATCGATCGGATTAGAGATGGAGAAAGAAGTATGAAGAAACTTGGAGGTATAGCCGTATAGATCGAACACTGCTATGGCTTTCCAGTAATTTACGGCAAAATCAAGGGCATCCACAAGGTTCTATTTACAGATGCGGACGATAATGAAGTAGAATACATAGTTTGAGAGGGAGAAAAATGTGGCCGATTCAGTTTGCGTGCGTGTGTGTGTGAAGGAGAGACAGAGAGAGAGAACCGTTCTAGGGCGACAGATAATTTGGTTTTGGAACAATTACACCCACGTCCAAATTTATTACTTAATCATCCAAATCCCCTAATATTTGAAATATTATATATAGACCTCTGAAGTTTGTTCGAGCGTAACACGTAGATTTTGTTGTCAATGTCCATTAGTATATCCATTAATAAATTATTTTTAGACCTCTAAAATTTGAAGCGACATGTAATTCCTAGACTTTTCAAGCTTCCAATATTACACTTAGATCAAAAATACGTCAATTAAATATAAAATATAAAATATTTGAAATTTTATAACTAAAATTTATGTTCTATTATATCATTTATTAAAATAAAATCAAAAATAAAAAAATTTAACTTTTCTTACAAAATCATAATTAGTATTACTAATGCCGAATTTTGGATGAAGTTCACATCAATTTGTTAAAATTTGATCACCTAAAAAAGAAGTCGGAAACCATAGAAGAGCTCTGGAGGTCGACTCTCCGATGCCTATATTAATAAGTAATTCAAAGGTATAAACTGCGTTTAGAAGCTAGGAGTGACATACTTGGAGTATTTTGGATTAAATAGAATTTTTACTTTGGAACAATTTTTTCATCATCAATTACAAATATATGAAATAAGTCTAATCAATACATTTACATGTTCCATTATATCATCCACTGACATAAAACCCAAACAAAATCTCAATTTTTTGAGAAAAAAATAATAATCAATATAAATATATCAATGAACTCAATTCAATAATTATTTTTATATAATTATACTATCTATTAAAATAAAACTAAAAAATAAACAATGGGTCAAACGGTAATGAACACAATACCTTTCTATCTTTAATTGGGGTAATATAGTCGTTTAATATATTTCGTTAGTTCTGTAATTAATAAAGAGTCTAAGTGAATTATTTCAAACTTGAAATGCCTTAGTGTTACGTGTCTATAAATTTTAAGGAGTTTGAGTATAATTTATTAATAAAAATATTATCAGACATCGACGAGTCTAAATGTTGTACGCGTACAAATTTTAGAGGATATGTGTGTAATATTTTTAACGTTAAAGACTTAAATGATTAAGTAACAAACTTTAAAGGGTCTGAGTATAATTATCCTTTAGTTTTAGGGCAATTTTTAGTTTATCTCCTTGTAGTTTACTCTATTTGCACATTACCCCTGTGACTTAAAAATAGCATATAACCCCCTTATGATTGTCAGAGTAAAGTGCACTACTTAACTCTGTTATCAGTAATTTCTCAAAAAAAAAACTCCGTTATCAGTAAAATTAAAAGACATCCATACTTTTCTTTCTCAGCAAACCAACCCTAATTTTTCTTCTCTAGTATAACAGACCCTTTACACCCATTTAAAAGATTCGCAAAATAAACCAAAACACACCAAAAACACAATCAAAATGGCACACCATACCATCACTAGGTACAGCACCACTTGGCATCAAACAAAAACCCAAAATAATCAAATATAGAAAAAAAAATTCAACTAAGTAATATTCCAAAATCAATCAAACGCATGTATTGTCAATTGTTATGGGTTCAAGAAAAAATTATGAATATGATTTTGGAGATGTGAATCTATTAGTGGTCTTCCGTCACATGTGCATGTGTATATATGATATATATACGCGTACATAGATAGATTGAATCCAAATAAAAAAAAAATATTTGAGTTTAAATTAGTGAATTTTGTGGCTTTATAGACTTGTTTTGTATTATGTGTATGTGTGTATACGAGAGAGAGAGAGAGAGAGAGAGAGAGAGAGAGAGAGAGAGAGAGAGAGAGAGAGAGAGAGAGAGAGAGAGGGGATGTGGATTATAGTGGCTGCCGAAAGGAGGAGGTTGGTGGTGGAAGTTATGGCTGTTGACGAGAGAGAGATGAGGGTGTGTCAATCAAACAGAAAATATAAAAGTACATTTTCGTCTAACAACTAAAGGGTATAATGTGTCATTTTTAATCCACAGCGGGGTTATGCGCAAATAAAATAAACTACAAGGAGGCAAATTGAAGTTTACCCTTGATTTTATCACAAAATTTATATTATTTCTGGAAGTCTCCCCGAAACTTTGGCTCTTATTACGTAGACGGGGATGTATGTTTTTCTAAAACAGCCGTGGTACTCCTCTAAATTTTATTTATTTATTTATTTGCTCGATTTTCTTCTTTTTTTATTCTTTTTTGTGAGAAGTAAAAGTTTACCAACATGAAAAAAAAGGGGTTCATCTTATCCCATTGTAAATGTTTTAATACACAATAATACAAAATTATTATATTACATTCAATATATATTCGGGATCGAGCTACTCTTAAGCAAACAAACGAAGAGATAGATTTGAATTGTTTGTCATCTAAAGCGTTACATCTCCTTCTGCTTTGGTCAACACCCATCTCCACATAACTTTACTAAAAGTGACATTAATTTTTCTAAAGTGGCACGAGCTTTTTTACAAGCATTTGCTTAACCGTTAAGATGTAGTGTAGCTACTGTGGAGAAATTTCTTTTTATTTTTTTGCTGTTAAATAATGTAGGGGATTTAGCTTTCTATACTTTAACCAAAATAAAAACCCGACATCCCTAGTTTTTTTGTGTCACGCAAGGATGACAAGTCTCAAACGCATGATCTCTAAGAACAAGAGCGATGGTCATTAGACTAACATCTAACGTCAACATCGCTAGTTCAGAGTGAAGACTCATGACTCAAGCTGAATAAAGAAGGTCGTGTTCCATGAGAAGCACACAAAAATACAAATTATAGCACATTAAGTATCTTCTTCTTAATGATAAAACATAGAGAAATCACACAAGAAAGTCAGAAAAAGCCTTTGACAAAAACCACACCGGTGTTCCCTTGACCTCCTAAGTCCCTTTCTCTGTATTCTTACCAATCACCCAGAGGCTCCGCCCGCCCGGTAGCCCAGTTTTTAGCATCAACAAATAGCAATGGTGTCACATTAACAAGTGTCATGCTCAAGTGTAGTGTTTAAATCAATCTAAAGATCGTGTGGTGCATAAACAAGTATTCATCAGCAGAGTGAGGCTGCAAGAGTCCGGGACAGCGAGCCAAGATCCAATTCGTCAATCGATGAATCCATGCCGTGTAACCTGGTAAAGGGGAAGGAGACAATGGCAATGCATCTCATACAATAGGGAGTCCGAACTACGTAAAGTACATGGATTTATCTCTCAAGATTTTTTCTGTGGTTCCAGTTCCTCCAGTAGGCAGAAAGGTTTAAGTTCCTGAGGGGAGACATTTTCTGATAGTAAGGCAATTTAGTCCCCACCATTCATCTGTGTACCATCAAATCTCAACCATGCCTGAAATTCAAAATATCCCCATGTCAGACATAAAAAATAGATATCTTAATTTTGAATGCACAAAAAAAAAAAAAAAAGATACTGATGAATCAGTCCCAGAACAAGGTATACTTACAAGCTACAATATATCATCCTATGTTTCTCTCTTTCATCAGCAAATCATTACATAGGAAGCTTATCTGATCATGAATTAAATGCCAAAGCCAATGCCAACAAACTAACCCATATATAAATATTCATACGTCAAAACACAATGAAAAAGTGGATATATTCCCACCTTGGCAAGAATACAAACAAGGTATCACTATCTCAAGTACAGAAAATGTGCAAGCTGTATCGAACAACATATATCATTATATCGATGTATAATCCCTCACTCTGCGGAAAGCAAGTATTGGTATCACAATCTGCTGTTGTCAGCAACAGCTGTGGAGGATGCCAAGTCCGCTCTTAATTTCTCTACTTTTTCCTTTAATGGTGTGGTGTTCATACCAGCAACAATCACCTCTTTGATCTCTGCTTCCAACTTTTTAACTTGGTCTGAACTCGAGCCTTTTGCTACCTCTGCCTTTAACTCTTCAATTTTCCTGCTGAGACCAGCCTCATTTACAACCTTTTCAATTTCCTTCACCATCTCTTTCCTCATCTTCACTATCTTCTCTCTAAAATCAGGAGATGGAGTTCCATCCTTTCTCTTAACCACCCCCAAAATTTCCAAGTTAGCTGATTTCAAAACCTTCTCCAGTTCTTTCTTAGCTATGTCCACTTCCTCTGATAAATTCATGTCCCATGTATCCCCTTTCATTAACTTTTCCCGAGCATTCCTCAAAAGTTCTTTCTTTGCCTTTATGTCTGCCGGAACTTTCTGATTGATCTCTATTTTCAGTTTCTCGCTTTTATCTGTCAGTTCAATCAGTCTGCTAACCATGCTTAGTTTTTGGAGCTTTTGCTTCAACCCAAGATATGCTCCAGGTCGTAACAACTTCTGCTTAAATTCTTCCATTATTTTGTCTGCTTTCTCCTTTAAACCTTGGTTAAGAGGTTGATTTTGGGAGTGATTGGATGCTCTAGATAACTCCAGCTTTAGTAATTCAATCTTATTTTGCAAACCCATTGAAATGAATGCCTTGGTCATTTCCTGGTCTAAATCTTCTTTGAGCTTCTCAATTGCTTCCTTAGTAATTGGATCAGACGGTCCCTTTGTTTCTCGAATCATCTTCCTGAGATTGTCAAGCTCAGTTTCTATATCGGCTGCCTTTGGTGCATTACCATCAGATGATTTCATGTTGCGTTTCCTTTCAGGGTCCACCTGAGTACCTTCTTGAAAACCTCCAATTCCCATTGAACGGAATTTGAGCATACGGTGGTGAAGCAACTCTTTAGTATTCATCCTTGACAACTCCTGTTCACAGAATAATACCTATTATGGAAACTAAAAGAAGAGAATGAAACAACATATCCAAAACAGAGAAATGGAGATGCAGAAAGTTTCGGGACTTCTGGAATGTTACCCCTAGATTTCCTACATATATCAACAGAAATGCTCTTATGTCTCTGTGCACACTGCACAGCAAAAGAATGGCTAATCACTGTCCTGCCACCATTTTAAGAACCAACTTCCAGCTCTTCCCTAATATAAGTGTGGAAAATAAAATACATCTTGGATGTGTGGTACTCTAAAGTAAATTTCAAGTAAGACATACCATTATAGTATACAACATGAAAAAGGAAAGTTTTTCATCCACACCACATCAAAGTCTTCTAACTTTTCTTAACGATGGTATTTCAGAATTTTTTTATGTAAAGTTTCAATTTAAGCATGCGAAAATATAGGTGACTAGAAAGCCTCCCGGCAGATTGGCTGTTAGTAAAGACAGCAAAGTAACTGTGAACAGGGATTACCTCCATGGCCTGGGTGATGGCAAGCTTAATCTGTTGAGATGTCCACACAGGATCAGCATGTGCACCACCAAGAGGTTCCTGTGAGTGATGCCAGCATCATAGTATTATAAAAAATATGAGGGAATGGCTCGGTCAATACATTAACACGAGCTCTATAATGGCCTAAGGAACAAAATAAAAAAAGGTTTGACGAATGAGATCTGGGTATTGGTTGAATTTGAAAATGAGCCAAAGCATTGGAACCATCCATTTATTTCTTAAAACAATGGTACGAAGTACGAACACTGCACAATTTCCCTAATAAAAAGCTGTGTTGAATCATTATAAATAGATAGAACAAATCTATGGTAAAGATAATTTTTTAAAGCTATCATTGCCTTGTAATGTTGCAACTTTTAGGATAGATACTTCTCAATGTGGATTCAATTTTCCTAGTCCCTTGTCACCCACCTTCTTCTTGACAACCAAAGACTAAGTAAACTATACACATAGCAGAAGGTCAGTGTACTTACAGCAATGATACCATCCGCAATTCTGAGCCTGTAATGTTCTTGCGCTGTTATCCTCAGTTTTTCAGCTGCCTATACAAGTTTATCCATACTTTGATATACAAAGATGACTTGTATTCCCGAAAACTCCGAATACAAATTTTATCATATACCTTAGGAGCTGCTTGGGAAGATTTCCACAATATTGCAGCACATGCTTCAGGACTGGTCACAAAAGATAGTATTCAGGAAGAAGTCCAATTGGAAAGGCACAAAAGTGATGCAATACAATTCATCCATAAGAAAGATATTTTCAGTGCATGAGATGCTCTGGTGTCCCATCTGTATATCTAAATATTGCAACATTAATAGCATGGAAAAGAAGAAGAGGCCCGGATTACAAGGGGGGGGGAAAAACATCTCTCATGTCTGGTTGTGTCCCATAGAACCCAGCTCCCAACATTGCCTTCATGCAGAGCAATCAACCACGTTTGACAATGCAAAGGTTCTTATCTCTCTATGATATGAGAAGGATGGAACAATAATAAGTTGCTTCGTCAACTTAGCTGTATACAGGGTCTTAAGAAGTTGACTCATTCATAGGAATCCTTTTATAGATTTATAAGCATGAACCTTGCCTTTGTTCCCCAAAAGTTAGTTGTAGTTTAATTATTTTGATAAGCTAGAAAAAAGCACATAAGAAGGAACAAAATTCACCTAGCAACGTAGAATGCAGAATTTTCCAGCATAAACAACTTATTGGCACAACCAATGGCAAGAGCACCACCTGAACCACCTTCACCAGTGACAACTGTTATTATTGGAACTTTCAGGCCAAACATAGTCCTCAAATTATGGGCTATAGCTTCTCCCTGCGTAAAGTTGAATGCAGACTTTTGTACATATTGCTGAATGTCCAAATAAAACTAAGGATGGCAGAATCCACAAGGCAAGGCAAACAGTATCTAACGCACCTGACCCAGTTCCTCAGATTTCAAATCAGCAAAAGCCCCTGGAGTGTCAATAAACGTAACAATGGGTAAACCATGATGATCAGCATATTTCATCATACGCAGAGCCTTTCTGTAGCTGTATGCATCAATCTCTCAGTAAGTTTTCTTAGAGAATTCAAATGAGGGGCTGCTAGTAATTTGCAGAAATTTTAAAAATTGAACTAAAATCAATGGGACTACATAGTGTGGCCTCTACAAACTGAATGACACATATTGTCGTGAGGCCCTTAATCCATGGGAAAATGGCTTCTTGTACTGGGTTGAAGCCTAGAAAAAACAAAAAGCTGTCCCACCCTGAAGTCATGAATACATAACAATCTTATATGTAGAAATGATCAACAATCATAATTACTATAGTTTTGTCAAGTAAATGAAGCAGCTGAAAGCCTGTGCACGTTGAATAATAATTAGCTTGTCCAGTGGATGATATTTGAAACATACCCATGGGGAGTTGGCATTGCAAAGTTGCGCGCAATGTTTTCCTTTGTATTCCTACCTTTCTGATGGCCTATGAACAGGTAGCTTTTACCATCTACGCTCCCAATACCAGTCACAATGGCTGGATCATCATAGCCTGCACGGTCTCCATGGAGTTCCACCCACTTTACGAAAAATCAAAATGGGTAGAGTGTATGTGCTTTAGATGGGAGTACAGTTAAAATGACAAAATGATGACAAAAGCTAGTGGTGTACCTTATCTGTTATATTAAAGATATGATCAAGAACAGTTGGTCTATTTGGATGCCGAGCAATATTCAGGCGTTGAATGGGTGTCAAATGTGTGTATAAATCCTTAAGAGCCTGAAAGTATGCTACAAAAAATTAGCATTGGAACAGCATGAACATCATCAAATAAGAATGAAGATTCATCTTTCATTACCTGAAAGTAATTACGTTGAAACCCATGGACATAGATCAAAATTTAAATAAAAAATAACTTGTGCTAATGCAGGGCCTAATTTGCAGCTTGAATTAACTATTTTTCTCCAAACTAGCATTTATAATTGTTACGTACAATAGTTAAGACCCTTGACATACAATTCAGTCTCCAACAGAATTTATTGAAACCTATTCTCCAGCATAAAAGAGAAAAAAAGGCTAAAATTAGCAATAAAAATCACATTACCAACATAACAAAGTTGTATTTTGAATCAAGCTTTATCTGCGGTTGGATTCGCAGACGGAAAATATTATGTGAAACAATTCCAAAATTACCTGTTGATACTTGCTTTCCAAAGCATTAATTTGATCACTGAAGTCCAAACCTGTATCATCAGCTATTTTGCGTACCTGTGCAAGAAGGAAATGAAACAAGACACCACAAGCTAAGATAGCATCCAAAACCTCCGTAGTAACAATAACCATGAAACAAAATGTTGTTCCTTAAATTGAAAAATAAAATTCTAGATACATGAGAGTATGAGACATATTTAATGTCTTCCACCAAAATGTTAAAATAAGTGTGGGGAAAAAAAATATACATGAAGTAGTCAGATAATTAGTACCATAAAGAGCAAATCACCTCAATAATCTTTTTCTCCAAATCAACCAGTGGCTTCTCAAAAGCAAGGGTCACTGGCTTGGGTTTCTGGTCCAAAGGCTTGAAGTAGGAGAGGTAAGTCAATGGATTAGTGCTACTATTTGGATCCATATCATCAGGCCACGGGTAATCATGCTTATTCCCCTTTCTAATTTTTGCAACAACACGAAACTTGCGCCCACTTCTGACATAGGAGCCCTCCAATTCCTTCGACCATACACCATTTACACTTCTCAACAAACTTTTGATTGAACCACTTCCAAATAACTCATTGCTAATATATGATCGGAACTGAAATACAAAACCCTGGTCTTCACCTCCTCTTCTACTTCCGCAATTACCAGCTATTAGAGATAGGGTAGTCATCTCAGGACAAACCTCTAGGAAGTACCTCAAAATGCACAAGGTAATGATGCTTCAAGTGCCATATTCTGCACATAAAAAATAACAGAAAGGCTTAAAACATAAATGGTTTACACAATTCATTTAGATAACTCAATTGTCCTCCATTTTATGATGATGAATTCAGTGTACCCAACATCAAACCCCTAAGTGGACATGGGCAGCATCTCCATTCAGAAATTACAAAAACTTATCAGCCAGCCAGAAAACCAAAATTTGGGATTTGGGTCTGATGGCCGAGTTAAAAAGGACATCAATTTGATATTGTAGCATGTACCTAGTTCATCCTTATCCTCCCATACCAAAGGAACCAAAACTTGGTACTGGTTTCTCTCTCTCTCTCTGAACTCTCAAATAGCAATAGAATAAGATGCAATTGGATGGCCAGAGTATAAAGAATTAAACTTTCATGGAGCAGCACTTCACTAGATGACAGAATTTCGAACTATACTATGCTTTCAAACTGAAATTTACGACATTGTAAGTTTGTAACTACAATTATCGAATGGGGCTGAATCTAAAACCAGTGATGTCTTCATCTTCATATATAATCTCAAGATCATGTGTTTAACAACAGAAACTCATTTAACACAAGGTGACTGAAGCACTCACCAACATGAATCCCTGCAATTCAGCACCATGAGGCCAGGACAAGACAATTTCCCAGAAATATATAGAGTTTATGAGAAGTTTCAGAGTCTCCACAGATTTAGGGTTTTGTGAAGCTTCAGAGAGGTGCTGTGCTTTGTTAACAAGAAACTCTAGCAAAACAGTTTTAAGCCAAGGCTTGTTGAGAGCCAACGGTTGGGAATGTCTCACTTTTACGTGGCGAAAAGTTGCTTGCGGAAGTGGTAAGAACTCAAATTTCTGGCTTACTGATGGGGGTTCGGTTCTTCACAATAATAGTTTGACGGAATTAATGTTGCAAATCATTGTGTTACTGACAAACATGTGAACTAACCTAAATATCTATTATTAAGGTAAATTTGTCGCTCACGATTAAGGATAACACCGAGCTCTTTGTGGGTTCCACTGTTACACGTGGAACGTCAACTTCTTTTTCTACTTATCCAAATGTCAGACCCCGATAGAAATGAATAAAGAAAAGAGCAATGGGAAGAATTTCACTCACATATTGTCACTTAATTACTCAAATTTTTTAATTTTAAAATATTATACTCAAATCTCTAAATTTTATACGCGCATAACACTTAAACCCTTATTATAAATATATCCATTAATAAATTACATTCAAATTTACTGAAGTTTGTAAACATATATTACTTAAACCCCTTAAGTTTAAAATGTTATATTTAGACCATAAATACTTTAATCAAAGATAAAATATTAAATATTTTAAATTTTACAATTAAAATTCATATTCTATTGTATCATTTATTGAAATAAAATAAAAAATAAAAATTCAAATTTTTTTAAGAAATCGTAATTAGTATAAAATTATATTGTCTTTTAAATGATCAAATTAAAATATCACACTATCTCAATTGAAGCTAAGAGATATTGTGTTCATTACAATTTGATCTCTTATTTAATTTTTAGTTTTATTCTAATAGATATTATAATTGTATACTAACTATGTTTTTTTTTAAAAAATTAGATTTTTATTTTTGATTTTATTTGAATAAATGACATAATAGAACATGAATTTTGGTTGTAAAATTCATGTTCTATTAAGAATGACTTAGACCCCTTATTTGATTTTTTTAGTTTTATTCCAATAAATAGTATAATTGTATACTAATTATAATTTTTTAAGAAAAATTTAAATTTAAATTTTTTATTTTATTTCAATAAATGATATAATAGAATATGAATTTTGGTTGTAAAATTTAAAATATTTGATATTCTATCTTTAATTAGAGTATTTTTTGGTCTAAGTATAATATTTTAAATTTAAGAAGTGTAAGTATTATATGTGTAAAACTTCAAGGGGTCTAGGTGTAATTTATTAATAAATATATTTACAGTAGGGGTTTAAGTGTTACATTCGTATAAATTTTAGGAGTCTGTGTATAATATTTTAAATATCAGGGGTCTGAGTGATTAAGTAACAAACTTCTGGAGGTCTGAATATAATTCTTCCAAGAAAATAAGGCTAAATGTTCTCAAAGTATAAGATTTATTTTATTTTGATCTCTAATGTTTTAATTGTATCATTTTGATGTTTGACATATTGAATATGTTTTTATATGATTTTTCAAATAGACAAAATCTAGATAACTAACGATTTTTTATCATGAACTTGTCATGTAATACATAAATATGAACAAAAAATAATTTTGATAGTTTTTAAACAAAAAATTGGATAACTCTTGATAAAAAAGGTGTAATATAGATAATTTTTTTTTATTAAAATTTTGATAGCTCATGATCAAAACTGTATAATTTAGTAACTATCAAATCAAAATTTGAGTAAAAAATTGGTCAAAAGTTATTCAAATTATTTTTTTGTCCATATTTAAGTATTATATGATAAATTAATGATAAAAAATTGTTAGTAATTTAGATGAAGACTATATGAAGGACCATATAAAAATATATTCAATACTTCAAGTACCAAAATTATACAATTGAAATATTAAAGATCAAAATGAGACAAACTTCTGACTTCGGGGATCTCCAATATAATTAACCGAAAGAAAATAATATGGGTCAAGCCAGTACAACAAACTCAACTTCTTCTTCTTCTTCTTTTTTGTTTTAATCTAATTTGTCTTTTTCATTAATTTTATCATAGAATGAGTCAAACCATCAGCCTCATTTCACTCCATTTTCATAGGATTTCATCCACATTTTAAAGCATTAACAATTCCATCTTCTCCTCACAATATTGGGATCTCCAATCACGTGTCCGAGAATTGTCGGTGCAATTCAATTCAATTTTAAAACCAATGCAAAAAATGGTTAATTTCTATTACAGGGAGATATAAATTGTTTATGTTTAAACAAAAAGAAAGACTTTTTAATCTTAATTACCGAGGAAAGAGAGAATAACCAAACGATTCTTGAAATTGAACTTTTTTTTTTTCAATCCTCGGCAGCCCAATCTTTTGGGTTCTTCTCTATTAGCTCTTCTTTAAGAAATTCTTGAAGGAATTATTAATTCCCGCGGTTTTTATCGAAGAGGGAGAAAAGATGTCATTCACAGGAACACTGGACAAATGCAAGGCTTGTGATAAGACTGTATATTTTGTTGATTTGTTGTCTGCTGATGGTACAACTTACCACAAAGCATGTTTCAAATGCAGCCACTGCAAAGGAACTCTGGTGGTATGTTTGTTCAAATACCTCTTTTTCCCCTGTTTTTTTTTTTTTTTTTCATTTCCTTTAAATGTGAATGTTCTTCTCCAAGCATCTTTGTATTATTTTAAATATTACAAAACAAAGTCATTTCTAAGCTTTGTTTTTCATATAACAAGTTTGAAACTTTCTCATGGATCATGCCAAAACATGCCCCATTGATCATTTGTCGGGGTGAGAATTAATTTAAGACATGACGATGTCGGTTGTGACACTTGTGTGTAACACGTTGGTCATAGCAACATAATCGTGTGTAGTATATCAATCGTGACAGTATAATCGTATGCCAATAGATTAATCCTGACAACATGACCGCCAACACGTGACAATTATGACTAGGAACTTAAGTGATGACCATTTCAACATTCAAGAGGACACTTATAATAAAGATATTTATGTATCCAATCTATCGCCCCTAGCACTTCCAATAAACGGAAACCTAAATGGATAATGACATTTGCATTAGAAGCTTATGTTAAGGTTGCAGTTGCTATTTCTAATAATAAATTACCATTTTCAAAATATTCAGGTTTACTTATCACTAACTAGCTCTTTGATTTTTGCCTTCCAGATGAGCAACTACTCCTCCATGGATGGAGTCCTCTTCTGCAAAACTCATTTTGAACAGCTCTTTAAAGAATCTGGAAATTTCAGCAAGAACTTTCAAACTTGTAGGACCCACCCTTCTCATTGATTTTATTTGTATTAATAACACTTTTGGCCATTAAAATATTTAATTCGTGTCATTTAATTCCCTACATAGACGGACTATTAAATTTTTGACGCGAATTAAATATTTTACGGGCCAAATTAATAAAATTGATACAAAAACGACTAAACTAATAAAAAATATATATTTTAGGGACTAAAAATACTATTAACCCATTTTATTTTCATGCTTCTTTATGCTTTCTGAATTTTGTTTCTTCATTTTTTTTGCTTACTATATATTTCTTTTTATCTGGTGATACTCGTGCAGCAAAGCCTGAGAGGGAGAATTCACTGGTATGTTCAAATACCCACATTTTTACATGCTTAAGATCATGCATTTGGATTCTCTATAGGATCGAGATCTATCAATTATATTTTCAGTCAATTTTTATCGATAATAAACCATTTATTACTTATTGGTGAGTCTTGTTTGTGCTTATTGGATTGCACTTAAATACATTGTGTATGTCGAGCAATGTTATAGAGATCTAATTTGAGAACTTAATTTAAAACAGTTATTGGATTAGTTATGTATTTCAATGTTAGACGAAAGTCATTTTTAATCTAACAGTTGTAATTGGTTTAGGTCCAAATAAGTTGACCTAAGACTTGTTTGTTGATTTGCAAATGTGAAAGCATTAAATTTGAACTATTTGAATATATGGCGATGTATTTTTTTTGTTCAATAGTCAGGAGTGTTCGTTTCAGCTCAAGCATACCTTAACTAATCCCCTTCTCGGTCCAGTCAAAAATAAATCATCAACAACAGAAGTAGAGTATTTATGAGAGATTTATCTCTCATAGCCTGATTACAAGAGGACGTCCAAACATATCCGTTGATCTTTCTGTCAAGTTAAAATTTTTCTCCCAATTACAAATTTGAAACATGTTCATTTTGATATCATATGCAGACAAAGGTACCAAGCAAACTCTCTGCCTTGTTCTCTGGAACCCAAGATAAATGTTCTGCTTGCAAAAAAACTCTATACCCTCTTGAAAAGGTATGCAATTATATAGTCCTTATCATGGCATTAATCCTTTAATAAAATTGTCAACTCGGGTTCGAGCTTCAATCCTCCTTTATTGTGATTTTAAGTGTCAAATTCAGGGTATAAGACACTCGTTTATAGTAGAGTCTTCTTACTCTAACTTTAAAGAAAATTATTTTCCGACTCAAATGGACAATTTACTTAAACAAGTAATCGAACTCAAAAATTTTGCGATTGACATTGATCATCACTCTAAAACAGGTGACAATGGAGGAAGAATCATACCACAAGACATGCTTCAAGTGTGCTCATGGAGGTTGTCCCCTCACACATTCATCATATGCTGCTCTCGATGGAATTCTCTATTGCAAGCACCATTTTGCTCAGCTCTTCATGGAGAAAGGGAACTACCAGCATGTCCTCAAGGCTGCCACTCATAAAAAAAGTGCAGTGAAGCCTATTGAACCAGAGGCAGCAGAGTCAGAACCCGAGCCTGAACTCGAACCCGAACACGAACATGACTAAACACGAGCAATCCTAGATATCGATGCATACTTTGGGTTTCATATTACACCCTTAATGTCCAAAAAATTTATATTTCTCGGTAGACCCTCTTGTTGGGATTAAACTTCATATGTGACTCTTCATGGTTAGTTTCAAATTTATAAGCATATCAAAGAGGTTTTGTATTTTTCATCACTCTTGGGTCTAGCAAGGTGATACTGTTGATAGATACATTAAATAAAAGTTAGGGTAAACAATGGGTCATGTTGTGTTGTATCACAATTTATTTATTGTATACCGACTTCTTTTTTGTCTAGGAGTCCTGTACATTCCAATTGTTTCTTTGCTTTATCTGCTCTCTCCCCATGTCCACGAGTGTTCTTGTCCAGAGCGAAGAAAAAGAAAAAAAGCGCCACCGAAACAACATAACTAAACTTCTACTGCTACGTTTGTAACAATAGAGCATTTTGCGTGATAACGATCACAAAGGCATTCATAGTTGTGTTGTATCACAATATATTTACCGTAGACCGACCTTTTTTTTTTGTCTAGGGGTCATGTACGTTCAAATTTTTTTTTGCTTTATTTGCTCCCCCAAGTGTCCATTAGTACTCTTGTCCGGAGCAAAGAGAAGGCGAAAAAACGTCACCGAAACAACATAAGCAAACTTCTATTGCAATGTATAAAACAATAGAACATTTTGCATGATAACGATCACAAAGACATTCATAGAAGACAGATAAAAGAGAATACTCGATGATAATTGAAGATCGTAGAATATTTTATTTAGGACACATGGTGCTCTCGCATGACAGTAGTTTACATAAACCGTTATATTTCCCGCCAACATTCAGCAATTTGAGTAAACAACAAAGATCAATACTCTCTCTCTCTCTCTCACACCCACCCACCCACCATGTTACAGCTCAAGTTAAATCCAGGAACCCTACTATGGAAAGCCGTGTCACTGCTCATGGAAATTAATGGAGTCGCCATTGTCAAATGCTCACCCGCTGGTTTATTGATGAAGAATTTGGTCCTAAGGCCTGGCGTTGTTGCAGAATTCCAAATCAGTCCTTGGAGTTTCAATAGCTATTATTGTGATGGAGACTACACGGTTCTTATCGGCCTCTTGTCCTTGTCCGATGTACTGAAGTCCATTAGTGATCAAGAATCTCTCACTATCACTTACACCTATAAAAAACCTAATTCCAACCACGTTCAGATCACCATTGAGGATACCACTGGTCAGTCAGCTCACGCTCTACTCGATTTCTTGTATCAGCTATTTATGTTCTCTTGTGTGCTGATTTGAATTGATATCTTGAAAAATTTTCAGAGATCATACACATTTTCTTCTGGGCATCTTGTGAAGTTTTTGGTTTTTTCTTGAAGTTTTAATTAAAATTTTCGATTATGAAAAAGACAGATGATGTAGAATCTGTGGATGCATTATGAGAGTTTGTATGTTTGATTCATTTTCTTCGAGACACCCAAAAAAAAAAAATCTTGAAGAACTTCGATCTTTTATTTGAAGTATATTAAATTTTCACTCTTAATTTGGACTGGTTTTCTCCAAGAATCAGAGTCATGAAGAACAATATATATATACATTCATATTTCTTGGAACAATTTGTCAGCTTTTCTAATCACTGATTTGCCATTGTCATTGATTGAAAGTTTGTCACAAGATTAGGTCAGATCAGGTGTTTATCAATATATTTGCTTATATATATATGGTAGCTTTTCAATTACTATGAGGATTTTTGTTTCGTGATCTTCGTATTAGCAGTAAATAATTTTTTTGCTTGAGTGAAATTTGTTGTTTCTTGTCGGGTTATTATTGCATATCATGTAAGTGAAGTAAAATGATTGAGCAGCAATGACTGCCTAAATTAATGTGAGAAACATTTCAGGAATTCGGAGCACCAGTGAGGTGAAAATACGTCATGCCCCCATTGAGTATGTGTATCCATATGTGTCACCATTCGAACACAAGCGGGTTGTTGGGATACCATCAAGCAAGTTTAGGCAAATTTTGACACATTTGAGGCGTTTTGGTGAGACAGGTATGCCCTCTTATACTTGAAGGCTGATGGACTGCTTGTAAGTAACTTAACTGCTATAGTTGTAAGTAACTTCACTGCTATAGTAGATAAGTTGTAAGTAACTTCAGTGCTATAGTAAATTTAAAGAAGTTGTAATGAAATTTCTTATGAATACTTCTTCCTCTGGTCCTCATAAGTTGGCTGAAAACTTTTAGACTTGAACCATGCCTACGAATCATCTTCAGGAATATTTGTCTTTCCTTAGTACTTACATTGGGGAAAGAGTTTTTCTTAAGGTAATTTCCAAACCAATGAGCCTGATGTTAGCGTATACATAAGAGGGTGAGCTAAAATCTTTAACCTTGGTATTAAAGCCTCTCCCATCAGTATGAAGACGATGAATGATGTGTGAATAGTTGTTATTTTGATTGTTCTTAATCAAAAAGAGCATGGCTTGAAGATGTTCTATGCTGGCTTTTCAATCTATGTGTGTAATATATAAGCTTTTGCAGTTTCTTTTCCTTTCCTCTGTATAAAGTTTCCCCTCTTTCCATATGATCTAGGCCATGTGTCCTAACATTTTTATTATACTCCAGTGAACATACGTGTAACTGCTGCACAAGTGAAACTCACCACAGCAAATAGGGAGATGGTCCTCACAAAGCAGGTGTGCCCCCACCCCAAAACAAAAAAAATCGCCTGGACTCTCCCCAACCTCTCTAAATTGTCACTTTTTCTACGAAGGACCCTTTGTTTTTGACAAAGAATTGACTCTGTATGCTGATTGCACTTAATGAAGCATTAATCACATTTTTATACACAACCCCAGAAACTGGTTTAGTTTGAGAAATTAAAAGTTGATTTTCTTTTTCTGCAGCATGGGTGCTCCATTTTAGTCAATGGAGGAGATGATCCGGTTCTTTTGGTGATCAGTCTGCAATATGTGAAGTCATTCCTAGAAGCATCAAGACTGTCATACACAGTATGGATGCTAAGGTCCCATGATGGGCAAACCCTGTTACAGTGTCCCTTTTGGCAACTGGGTCACATCATTTACTACTTCAATTGAATATGATTATGCAGGTTGGTGTACCCTGAATTTCTGTTGGGTACCGGATGACCCAAAAAATAAATAGTCACAAACGTTGAATTTCTCTTCAGCTGATTCAATTCTTTGGAGTTTGGAAGTTAATTACCCCATATTCTTTGTTTGAACTTTAAGTAGAGTATCAGTGTGTACTAGTGTGAATTTCCAACACACAGACAGACTAAAAATAGAACCATATATATGATCCACTATGCATGAATGATGTATTGCTAGAAACATTCTTATTAATTTTGCTGATTGGGAACTGTCATTTTTCTATCCAATGTCCCCAGTCGAACAAGGTTTTTTTTGCCTCTAGCTGCGTTTGAGAGAGCTAAATGGTAGACATGTTTGCCTCCCATTTTGGAGAAACTGAATTCCGAACTTACCAACTCCAATCCACAACACACCACTTGGACTGATGAGCACTTGTCATCGTTTCAAGTCTGATCTCTTTTTTCCAGTTGAACTTGTAACTCAGATTTTTCCAGTTTTGCAGTGTAATTATTTTAACCAAACACAGCTACTTCAAGGTTACAACTTGCAGGATTTTAGATGTTTTTTCCCCTCAACATTAGTTCTATTGTTATGCCTAAAAGAGTGATCTACCTATTGCCAGGTTCTTTTCATGGGATCACTTGGTATTCATTCTCAAGGTTCCCACAGCTTCTCAACATGCTTTCAGTGTGCTGGCTTGCGCCCCTTACTCAAGGACAAACATTAAAAACTTGAAGACTAATGCGTGATGCAGAATGTCATAACATATCTTAATTCCGATTTAGACTAAACTCATACTCAAAAACATCAGCATCAGGTTAATGGTTATCAACTATAGTAGTAATGCAAACATCAAATAAGCATCCATTAGACCTCAAATAGAAGATGATCAATATTACTTATGCCTGATTGGTTGCATTAAAAAACTAACACAAAGTTTAGTAAGGGAATATGAAGTACATTTTTTAAGCAAAAACAATTGTCAGAGATAAAATATATATTTAACACTACTATTTCTAGGGGGCACGCCAACTCAGACTCAACCCAAAGCTGGCTCAATATCAAATTGAATTTTTTGGTCTAGGAGTCACGTACCTTCCAATTGTTTCTTTGCTTCATCTGCTTCCTCCCCGTGTCCACTAGTACTCCAATCCAGAGCTGAAACAACATAAGCAGACTTCTATTGTTACTGTTACGTAACAACAGAGGATGATAGCATTTTGCGTGCTAACAACCACAAAAACATACATAGAAGGCAAATGAGCAAAAACGCTCTTTGAACGATAATTGAAGATTGTAGAATATTTGTTCTAAGACACATGCGCATGACAAATTTAGTTTGTACTATTTTCACCTATCAAGAAAGGTTTTTTCCTTGATTTTTTCAAGATTCTCTTTTTCACCGAAGAGAGGGAGGGCTAACATTCTTCTCAAATTCCAAAGTATTTCTTTCAATTTGTTTATCATGGGATTAATCTAGTATACCAATAGTTTTTACATTGTACCCTGAATATATCAAAAGTATTGTTACAGTGTGACTCTTATGTTAATTTTTCATTAGTTTTTTTGTCAGTGTCAATAAATTGATTTTTGATAGAAAAAATAAAAAGGATCATATTGCAATATTTTTGATATATTGAGGGTACAATATGAAAATTTTAATATTTGAATATATAAAATAAAAATCTTAAAATTTTTTTGGATGCAAAGTACAAGAAACCCTAGTAAATTATACTACCTTGACTCAACTTATTGACACAATTTGATAACTGATCTAATGATGGGTTAGATTAGGAGTAAGTCTCAATATTCTATAATATTAATCAATAACCTAATAGTAATAGCAAATTGAGTCAACAAATTATTTAAGTAAATTGTGTTCAAAGAATATTAAATTTAATAGAAAAAATTTTATTGTAGAAAAATAGGGCACCCGATGTCTTGAGTTTGAATCTTGACAACTCCTTAAGGTCATACTATCGCTTATGAATATTTAAACCCGGCATAGATGGTCTGCTTTTCACCGTACTAAGTAGAAGATTAGTCAAGGTACGCGTAAGTTGGTCCGAACATTTTTGACCACCGAACCCAAAAAAATAAATAATTCTAAATCAACCTACCGAACGTAAAATCATGTAAAATGAAGCCAAATTGTGATGGTGGCATTTATGTAGATATTTGAGGAATTGCTGGTATTTGATTAACAATCATGTAAGTATGTAACTAACTCTTCCCGTAGTTTACATACCGTTATACTTCCCGCCGGCATTCCCATCTCTATGTCTCTCAATTTGGCAATTTGAGTAACCAACAAAGATCATAGAACTTTCAGAACTAATCCTCTCTCTCTCTCTCTCTCTGGCCATGTTACAGCTCAAGCTAAATCGAGGCATTCTATTGAGGAAGGCGGTGTCATCACTCCGGCCAATTCGGACCATCGCGATTATCAACTGCTCACCAGCTGGTTTATTGATGCAGACTAGAGGCGGAATGCCCGGCGTTGGCATTGTTGCAGAACTCCGAATCAGTCCTGAGAATTTCAACAGCTTTTACTGTAATGGAGACTTCACCGTTATTATCCGCCTCCGTCGCTTGTCCAATGTACTACACACCGTTGGTGATCAAGACTCTCTCACTATCACTTACAGTTATAAAGATCCTAATTCCAATTACATTTATATCACCATCGAGAGTTCTAATGGTCAGCACTCTCTCTCTCTCTTTCTCTACTCCATTTCTTGTTTCACAATTCTTAGTCCTTTTGCTGATTTTAAATTGAAATCTTGAAAACTAATCGATTAACAGTTGCTAAGACGATACTCAGTTTCTTGTGAATGTGTTATGAAATTTCGCGATTTCTTGAAGTTTTAGTTAAATAGTTCAATTGTAAAAGGTCATATGTTAAGGTAGTTTGATTCAATTTCTTGGAAACACCCAAAAAACAAGTTTCAATTTCAATTTGAATTTTTCTTCTAGAACTGGTGTTCTGAAGAAACAAAACATTTTACTTCTTTGGACAATTTGTTAGCTTTTCCATTGCTTTGATTTTTACTTCTTGAGCTGTTAAGTTAGTTAATTTGGAGAACTATACCCTTGTATCATAAATTTGTAACAACATTAGGTCAGTGGGGGTGTTCTTATTGATGTATTTGGCATCTTCCTATGCTTTTTCTTGCATATCGTACGTGTTTGTGAAATCAAATGATTGAGATGCAGCAACAAAGCCCTAATTTACTTAAAAACTTTATCGTAGGAACGCGGAGGACTTGTCCCTTTAAAATAATTGAGACTCTCACCGAGAATGTTGTGAATTTGTTTACGTCACAATTTGGAAACAAAGTGGTTGTTGGGATACCATCAAACAAGTTTAGACAAATTTTGACACATTTGCGGGAGTTTGGGGATACAGGTACAATATTATTGGCTTCCCTTATTGCACTTTTGTTGCCTGATGTTCCTATTAAATTTCACAAATAGATAAGGTATAATTAACTTCACTGAAAGTTGAAATAATGAAATTTCTCGTTTGAATCTCTCTATTCCTGAATACTTGTTCCTGTAGTCCTTCTAATCTCTTCCCAAGTTGAAAGAAAACTTAACACCTTTAGACTTTGTTGGAGTATAGATAGTCTAGGTTTATTAGGATTTCTTTTCCCTTTTTTACCCTTACTATGATTTTTATATTTTGCCTAAACTACAAGGATGTTTAAGTCACTCTGTATTATTTTTGGATATATATACGGGGTTCTACTCTTAATTTGAGTATCCCTTTTCATTCACAACTATCTCAAGTTGGTATCAGAGCCAAACCTAAAACACTAACCCTAACCCTAACCTCCAGCATACTCAGCAGCCACATCTCCCCAGCAAGCAGAGAAACCACCCAAGACATCACCGACCAGCCACAATCACCTTCAGCAGTGAATAGTATCACCGACCAACCATAGTATCACCATAGTATCACCGAATCAGTCCACCGACTGAAGCGAAAATCCTACACCGAGCACCGACACCATAAAGCACCGACAAACCCCACCGACAACCAACATCAACATCACCGATCACCATAAAGCACCGAGCACCGACAACTGACCGTTCACCGAATCAGTCCACCGACTGAAGCGAAACACCGACTGAAGCGAAAATCCTACATCAAACTCCATCGACAACCAACATATACCAGTAAACCCAACACAGCCCAGCCCAGCCAATAAACCCAACACAGCCCAGCCCAGCCGACCCAACACAGCCCAGCCCAGCCGACATATTAAATCCATACCCAACATACACCCCCACCAACATATTAAAACCAACCCAAAACAATTCTCAAGTTGGTAACTCAGCCCACTGCCAACCAATAAACCCAACTCACTGTTATATCTAGGATTTTTTTTTATGAGGGGTTGTTGATTTGCTCTTGATGCAGTAGATCACTTATTTATATATTTTGGATTTCTGGGCACCGTGACTTGATTATTTGGGAGTTTTTTGGACCTTCCTTATTTGTCGCTACTGTTCGACTGAAGGTATATTGTTCTCCCTTATTTTATTCATCTATTTATCTTAGAGTTATTTTTCTGTTACGGGTGCCCTAGTATTGTTGTTGATATGGCTACTACTGAGGGACTTGAGAACCCTACTGTTGACACCTCTATCGTTGAGACATCTATGGGTACTTCCACTTTTATGTTTGACCAGTATACAGTGCCTACTAGCACAGTTGCATTACCAGCATTACCGGGCATGATCTCTCAAAAAGTTACGGCACAATTGTTGAATGGTCGTAACTTCGCTGAGTGGTCACGCTCATTCCAGCTTTTCTTAGGCCGTGTAGGAAAGCTTGGTTGGCTGACGGGATCTCACCCAAAGCCAGCTGATGCCGACCCTGGATATTCTGCATGGTTCTCTGAAAATTGTGCCATTCTTGGATGGTTATTTGGCTCAATGGAGCCCTCTGTTTGCATGATCCACCAGTTTCATAGCTCTGTTCCGAAGCTATGAAGCGCATTATCAGAGATGTATTCTCAGTCAGGACG